GTTATTTTAAGCATTCTTTTTGTTTTAATCCCCCATCCCTATTTCAGCTTCTCCTTTCTCCCCCCTTTTCCCTTACAACCACTTTATTATAGTCCTAAACTTGTAAACTAAACTGGAGAATTACCTAATATACAGTTCAATTTCTCTCGCCCTGGGAATTTATATTTGATATCTCATGTATTGAACCATGTTTTCTAATTCTAACTTGAATGGAAGGGGAAAAATTGGAAATTTTTATTATTTTCATTTCGTCTGTTATGAACTACTGACTTCAATACATTTGTCGTCTACGTTTTTTCTTTTTATTAAAAAATTCTGTTTAAATTTGAAATTATTAAACTTGATATATTTCTAAAAACGTTGGAGGCACATGTCAAAAATGAATTGGTTACAAATTAGCAAATCTTTAGCTATGCATATCGAAACGAAGATGACAATCATTTAAGAAATTTTGAAAATAAATAAGAAACGGCTGTTAGAAGACGACATTAATATCGTTATAGATTCACAAAACATTCATTTGTGATTTAAAATGCATCAAATTCATTAATTTAAATTTTTTATTTTAGGTTTCAGCGTGACTCACGTTCACCGCAAGAGGTGGATTGGAGGGATAGGAATTGTTTCTGTGATCCTGAATGTCGTCTTTACGGAGATTGTTGCATTGACGCTGCCGTATTTGATCCGATAGAACAGAAAAAGAACTATAATTCTTTCAGGTTAATTTTTTCACTTTTTTGTTCATTGGATGATGATATTGTATTAATCAGTGTTTTCTCATTTTATAATATAATGATTTATTTTAAAATGTAATGAATTATTTTATGATATAATGAATCATTTTATAATATAATTAATTATTTTAAAATGTAATGAATTATTTTATAATATAATGAATTATTTTATAATATAATGAATTATTTTTACAGTTTGAATACACTGCATTACATTTTATTCTTTGATGACTATTTTGTTAAATTTGTTAATATTTGTTTATTGTACAGTTGTGTAAACCTGCGGCAGTACGGTGATGTGTACATGAAGAATGCTTGTCCAAAAACCTGGAAAAACAAGAAGATTAAAAACTTATGTACAGAGAACAGTAAGGTACACACAGAAAATGAATTGTCAAAATATTATTGATTTAATCTTAATATTAAAATGCCATCAACGATTTCATTTAATTATCTGAGAAACTATCAATTTACAATAAAGAAAACCCTTTTCGTATTATTTGAAAAATTGTCTTGAAAAATCATATTAAAACCTAATTCCTAATTTTAGACTGATCCCCTCGGATCTATGCCAGTTACAGCCAGAGGCTCAGGAGTCACTTACAGGTATAGTTTATTAAGACACGACACACAATACACATGGCAGTTGAAGGGACTGAATATGAAATATCCCCTCAAAGATAAAAATACAACAATATATTCTTAAACATTTTGCCCTTTTCTTCTTTTTTCGCACACATTTTAAGATATTGTGCTAGCTATAAAATTTTCTTGATTTACTAATTAATTTTGATTTTAGTAATTATTATTGTTCTGTTTGTAACAATGATAGTAAGGATACTGTTATTTGGACCCCAAGGCTAGAGTGCCCAACTCTACAAGGATATAATTCTAGGTAGGGTTATATTTCTGGCAATAAAACGTAAAACTAATTTTTGTATATTTAAATTATCTAAACAATTGTTCCTCATCAAGGTGTTAAAGTTTGGTTTACACTTTCATACGAGACATTTTAAAAGATTAATTAAAATAATTAATTAAAAAAGAAATTAGTCTAAAATCTGTGTATGAAATTGATGAAATTATGGTTTTGAATTAATCAGCATTATAAATTTAATTGGGTTATTTTAAGCATTCTTTTTGTTTTAAGTAAAGTTATCATAAATTATTATGTTGTAGATATTTTGTGATTGAAAATAAATATTATTATATATTGATAGAATTTTACATGAAAGTTTTATTTCATGCGGCTTTATATATTATAAAATTATATATTATAAAATTTAGACTTTTATATATAAATTTTTTTATAAATGTTATATTTAGATTTCGAAATATCAGCCGGGACTATCTTCTGGAGAATCTGAAGTTTAATCCTGACTCTAAACAGTGGGGAGTTGAGATAGATACTATTGGTAAATATCAATATGTTATAAATCATTATATACAGGGTGTCCCACATCATATTAGATCACGTCAATCGGTCTAATTTACGATTTTCTGGACTAATCAGAAAATTTAAGAAGAATGAATCAATTTGAAAAATTGAAAAGGGCTAATATAAGAATTTTCTTGCGGAAAATACAAGGTTATTCGAGTATTTTGGGTTTATTTTGGGGTTAAAACTTGGAGATAATCTAATATGATATGGGATATGTAGTGAGAACCAGAATACTTTATGGAATAGGAAGCCGGTGTTTAGCCTCAAAATATGACTTTAAATAGTCCAATGAACATAAGTGCAGTGTAAACAGACCTATTTCACTTAAGAAATGATTTAATAACTTACTAATTTAGGTATTTTCTTTGTAACATCAAATGCACTTTAGTGTCAATTTAATGTCGTCTTCTTATCTTACAATTATCTGTTTATCACTGTATGTAATTGGTTCAGGTTTGATGTGTGTGTGTGTGTGGGGGGGCTTGATGTCAACATACATCGTTCACTCTGAAATATAGACAAAAAAAATCGACTTTTACAGGACAATAATGTCAACAGAGTTTACTCAAAATCAAAAAGCAAATCTTCTTTTCAATTAAATAAACTGTAAACACTAAAAATATATTTCTTTTTATATTTCAGGTATTCCTGTTTTTCACGACTGCTTCTTCGATCCCTATCTACCTGACGTAAGACATATCTAAACAAAAATTCTAGCTAAGTAGATAAATGAAACAAATTTTTAATTTATATTTTTAAGGGTGTTTCGGAGAAAATACGTCGGTGTAATGCGGACACTATTACTAGTACTTGTCCCCCTCACTGGATCAATGTAGGTGACGCAAAATCTGGCGTTAACATCTCCAGAAGAAGAGCTATTTCTAATTACTGTTCTGGGTACACTGCCGTTATATACTCGAGTAAAAGGTAAAACAAATGTTATTGTTTACACAGCATACTACATATTATCAGAACTGAATTTAAAAATACAAGAATACAATTTTCTTCAAATAGCTTTTTTTATTCTAAATTAGTTTGGGAACCCGGCGCTGCCCAGGTTACTCATGTTTAATACTGCCATTTACCCGCACTTGGTCGACTTTACAGGGAAACTTAATTTTCGCTATAAAAGTTGACCCACTCAACTAAGATTCTCAGAACAGACTAAGAATATTCCCCAATCAAAATTTGAGGCAAATCGGTCCAGGGGTTTCTGAGTTATGATCGGACAAAAAAGCAAACGTACAAACAGCGATCACAACTTTATATACAAAGATCATATTAGGTTTTCGTTTGTCTGTTTATTGGTTTCACTGTTTGTCTGTTTATTGGTTTCTCTGTTTGTTGGTTTGTCTGTTTGTTGGTTAGTCTATTTGTTGGTTTTGATGTTTGTTGGTTTGTCTGTTTGTTGGTTTGTCTGTTTATTGGTTTGTCTGTTTGTTGGTCTCTCTGTTTGTTGGTTTTGGTGTTTATTGGTTTGTCTGTTTGTTGGTTTCTCTGATTGTTGGTTTTTCTGTTTGTTGGTTTCTCCGTTTGTTGGTTTCTCTGTTTGTTGGTTTCTCCGTTTGTTGGTTTCTCTGTTTGTTGGTTTCTCTGTTTGTTGGTTTCTCTGTTTGTTGGTTTCTCTGTTTGTTGGTTTGTCTGTTTGAATCAAATTAACGTCATATAACGACTAAACTAGAAATCCACCATTAAAAACAGAAAAAAACGTTTCTTTGAAAAATTATATATTTATTGAAATTTATCCTATTTTAAAATGTCCAATTTATTCAGGGATGTTGCATACAGGAACCCGCACTGCGCTATTTGCAACAATGATACCGTGGAGTCCTTGATCTGCTTGAACCTGAACGTGATGGGTAGATCAGGATTCCTTTCAGGCTTCCAACCTCATTCATTCGCAGTCCTCTTCGACATCCGCGACGGCGGAGAGGTCGGTGTTGAGAAGAAGTGTGCCGAGGGGGAGCTGTGGGACCCCTTCTTCAAGAAGTGCAGGAATATAGTTTGCGGGGAGAGGGGGAAGGTTTGGGTTGAGGGGGTTTGCTACAACAAGGACGAAGTTCCAACAACAACAACAACAACTACAACTACAACTACAACAACAACTACAACAACAACTACAACAACTACAACAACTACAACAACTACAACGACAACAACCACAACTCCGTTGGAAACTGTTCCGTTAACTGATATTCCGGAAAGCATTCCGGATATAGTTTTCCCTTCTGACACTTCCGATATAATTTTCCCACTTGTTAACCCGGATATAGGTTTCCCCAAGGACTACCAGGAAATAGAGTTCTATGATGAAAAACAGGAAATAGAATCCACAGAGCAACCGTCCATAAACCAACCCCTAACCACAACTGTTACCACCACAACAACATCAACAACATCACCAACAACATCAAAAATAAACACATATGGATACAACAGTACACTGTACCCTATTAGTGTGTACCCTCAGCTAGGAGAATGTACTAAAATCCAGCTATACCCTGGAGAGTTCAGGTTAATATAGTTGAATTACTAAAGGTTATTCTAAGACCTATAAAAGGAGGTATATAATGAGTATTTTGAAACAACTGAACAAACCCTTTAAAGCTTGATTTTTAATAGATTTATTAAAAATGCTGATTCTACTTAAAGGGACTGTAAGCGAATTTCAAGTGACCCTCCATGCATAAATAGCATTGTTCGAACCCGCAAATGAAAATAAATAGTTTAATGAAACCAAACTCTGATATCTAGTTCATACTAGATCAGACATAGCTATTAAGGGTACCATTGTGAATCGGGCATTACCATATTTGCATGGAGGGTACTTGAAATTACGTGCGCTTACAACTCCTTCAAGCAAAACATTCACTTTTTTCGTGTTGTTTCAAATTAATCTAATTTATTTATAGTAAAACAGAAAGAAAGTATAAGGACAGTTTTAAATCAATGACTTCATCAAGATCTATTAATATTACGTAGTTGTCAAATTTTTCAATACATTTTCAAAACTTTTTGTCCCTTCTGAAAGCAGGTTAGGATTGACTGACGGGGATTCATTTCAGATAATAAAAGCCACAAGAGTTTCTGATTAAACTCATTTTTCTTTGTATCTTTATAACATGTGAATTGTATTCTCTACCTGTGTTGTAGGCTGACCGAGTCCGGGATAAGTATTCCTGAATACGGGTTGACCCTTCAACCTACCAGCTACTGGACTCAGGAACAAACAAATCAACCAAGTTGAAAAAACAAATATTTTTTACTATGTCGTTGCTTAAATAATATGGAGTATAAAAACTACTCTATAAGAAGGAAAAGCAAAAGAGGTAGTTTTAAGAAACCCTCCTTTTATAGAGGGGCTTATCTGATGCACAACTGTACCTTCAAATAAAAAATTAATAAGATATTCATGTTGTTCATTTTTAAATTTTTTTAAATTGTGGCTTCTTGATTTTGTTGATTTGTGGATTTCTTTTACTCTATAAATGGAGAAATTACTTGAAATAATCTTTTTATGAATTTAATATCGATATTTTTTACAGACTTCAAACTATTTAAAGGGACTGTAAGCGTGTTTTTATGTGGCTCTCCAATCTCCTTGCAAAAACGGGAACGCCCGATTTAAAATGTTACCTTTAAATAGCCTTTTCTGGTTCACTTTAATTTAGATATCAATGTTTATAATTTTGAAAACTGATTATTTTCATCTGTGGATTCTTTTCTTAAAAAAGTGACTTGCGCAATTCTACTGAAATATATATATATATATATATATATAATTGATCAGAATTAAATACTTTTAAACCTATAAAAACGCCAATATCTTCCACATCATTGATTAGATATAGGTTTCAAGGGTACCGTTGTGAATCGGGCATTGCTCTCTTTGCATGAAGGGGATCTCTTGCAATTAATCGTACAGTCTCTTTAAATAAAAGTTAAGACAGTATAATTTACAATAAGCCTCAATCAGTATCAAGGCCAGAAAGTCGTCTTCAACATTTTTCGGGATATTCTTATGTTTTACAATGTTTACTAATTTGTTTGTCGAATATAGGGAGAGAATATAATAATCTGTAGTCCGGATGAACTGCATGCTGGAGCTACCAAGTTTTCTCCGATTATGGGATATGTCACATTTACATGTTTAGGACTTTCAATGGTTTGTTTGGTAAGTAACTACAATTGTTCTTTTCGTATTTTGTGTTTTTTTTTTTATGATTTTCTTGAGCTACTCCGGTAGACGATAATTAATTTTAATTATTACAGTTCTACTTAATAGGGAAACTTTAACGAGGGTTCCCAAGACCAATTTTGCTTACAAACCGTCCATAGCCATGCGAAGAATGTTTTGTTGGCATAATTAGTCGAGGGAACCCGTGGTTAATTAAAATTTTTAATTTCCCGTCTTTTGATATGAAAATGCGAGATTTTTTTAATGAAAACATCGCAGACCGGGTCGTTATTTTACCTAATTGTCCAAGGGACGTAAAGTAACTTAATTTCCCTCTGTTGGTTTGGTAATTATCATCACTTCAATATTGAAAAAAATCCATTTTTTATTTTAGGTTTTCCACCTGTTGGTCACTTGTATTGCTCCTGAACTGCAGAATTTAAGCGGGAAGAACTTATTCTCCTTTGCACTTGCACTTTTAGGTAAACTTTTATTTTTGCATTTCTTTTGCCTAAAGGAAAATTTCATATGCGTACTCGACATAGTTCTAACGGCAACGCACTTCTCTTTAATAAATATTTGCCTTTGTATTGTTGTCTTTTTTGTTCTTTTATAAATCTTTAATTTTACTAATGAATAAAATTAATCACGTGTATTTAAAATTTACTTAGTTAAACTCCTAAAAATATTCACATAAAAAACATTATGTCGAAATCTTAACGTTTAGCTTAAGATATTTAGATTTTTTATTTGTAATTTCTTAATTAAAACTTCCTTTAAATAAATATCATTTATTCTTAAACTTCATTATATTGATGGGATAGGCTTTTCAACTTCTTCCATTGTGGACAAAACTGCACACTACCATATTTATTTCTGTCCATCTCCAACAAACTGAGATTAAGATGTTGCCCATTTAAAATCCTATCTCAATTTTTCTATTTACTAAGCTTTGTTTTAAACCCTTCCCCCTCCCATCCCCCGCTCCCCCCTCTCCAAATAGCAGAAAGTGTTGTGTTATTAATATTAATAAAATGAACAAGGTGCGTACAGCTGTTTCCTGGCGAACATGTTGTCTCCGGACCTCGAGGGTGAAGGATGCTTCGCCCTGGCTCTGCTTATGTATTACTTCTACATGGCGACGTTCTTCTGGATGCTCAATATTGCGGTCAACGTTGCAAGAACCCTACGCCTTGCGACAACACAACTCAGGTCAATTAATTGAGAGTGCTTTGCATTTTTTAATGGCCCATAATAAAAATCAACCTAATTCCGTTCAAGCGTTTTTTTTTTTACAACTTTTTATACAGGTTGTCTACCGGCCCTCAGTGGAGTAAGTATCTGCTAAGCAGCCTGGTCGGCTGGCTGCTACCTGCATTGTTGGTTATTACAGCTGGGCTGATAGACCGGCTTGATATACCGGATATGCCGTATCAGTTTAAACCTGGATTTGGAGGCTCCAAGGTACAATTGTTATACAGGGTGTCCCACGAAACATGACATTTAAAAATCGTTATTTTTAGTTAAAACATCCTTTTGCCTCATTATCTTTCACTTTGAAATCAATTTTAATATAACATGACTATAATATAATATTTTTATTGATCTTTGGTATTAAACAACTCAACAAATTATGGAAAAAGACATTCTAAACCATTCACCAACTGTCATGTTTCGTGGGACACCCTGTACCTTTCACTGTAACATTTAGATCCCTTGTTAATTTAATACTATTATTTAGAAAATCCATTTAAAAAAATTCAAATTAACAACTTTCTTATTTAGATCGGTCTTTGTTGGTTTTCTTCAAGGAGTGCTCTTCTAATATATTTCGTGGCTCCTTTCTCGTTAATCATGCTTCTGAATGTCGTCTTCTTTATTTCTGCATCTTGTCTTGTGTGGCAGTCTTCTCAATCTACTGCAAAGATAACAACAACAGGTAAACCAACTATTGGGGATGAGGGGGGGGGGATTTGTTTGTTCGATCACAACTCTGAAACCCCTGGACTGATTTGCATCCAACTATTTGGATTAAGTAACTCTGAAGAGGCCTACGGGAATTTTCTTTGCTTGGTTTTGAGACTCTAAGTTGAGTGGGTCCACCTTTAATGGGGAAAATAGTTAAAGTCCTACAACCAAGCGCGGGTAAACGGTGGGACTACTATGACTCCCCTGGGCAACGCTGGGTTCTCAGCTAGTTTATAATATATCTATAGGACCTCGGATAAGCTTCCATCTCTACTTGCGTCTAGCCTTGTTAATGGGATTAACTTGGTTGACCGGTATCATAGCTGGAGCTCTTGACCTGGAACCTGTCTGGTACGTGTTCCTGGTTCTAAACACACTTCAGGTAGAAAATTTTTGCTTTAATTTTTAATTCTAAAAAATATTTTTAGGAAAATGAACCTTTTCCTATTCCGCGAGTTAGTTTCCTTAATGTCTTTTCTCGTTTCCTCTTGCGTCAGTATTTAAGTAATAACACTTTTCTCTGAACTGGTCAAAATAATTATTTAGAAACGTGTTACTCATTTTTGAGATTCAGAGATTGTTGCGTCAAAAATATAATTTGCCTAGCCGTAGAAAAAAAAAATAATACGCTTATGCATTATTTAAAACTATGTGCTAGCACAGAGTTTAAGTTATCTAAACTTTTCCGCTCTGAAAGTTATGCTATAGCAGAACAAATTTGAATGCTTGCAAAATATTATAACCCGCTAACTAAAATCTGAATGTGAGCAGATTTCAAGAATGTTCCGTGGCATTGTACGATAATGTCGTCTTCATGGTTGAATAAAACAAAATCAATTTATGTGAGCCCGTTCTAAATCATATATTATTTTTCATTTATTTTACCAAGATGATATTCCAGGGTTTGTTTATCCTGCTGTTCTTCACCTGCTCCAAGAAGGTTGTGAACAGCGTAAAGGAGAGAATGAGCAGGGAGGAGAACGACTCCTCCACCTGGAGATGGAGAACCAAGGATAAAGCGGAATCTCAGGTATAAACTGAACGTGGATTCAGAAAGTCGTCTTTGTCCAAAAGTTTCAAATTTTCACCAGTAGCATTTTTAGTCATTTTTTTCTTTTGCTAATTATTTCAAGATAGTTATGCACGACCAGGGAATTGTGAGAGGGGAAACAAACAAGGAAACAACTTTAGTTTTTCTATCTTGAAATATTTAATTTGTCCATAGTCCATAAAAGTGACTAGTGGAAAGACAATTAACATAATTTACAGAATTCATCACTTTTTAAGTTGAAATAACGACGATATCTTCCTCTTTGTTACCCAGATAAATGTTTAATGGTACCGTTGTTGATAGGACCTGTAATGGGTTGGTAACTTGAAATTAAATCTATTAGTCCTTTAGAACATTTACTTTTGGTTTGAAGTATATTAAGTGTTTATTAGAAGAAAATTAATGTCACGTATCTTGTATGCATGTAACCTTGTACTTTTCAACAGTAATCAATTATTTCATTACTTTTTCATTCACGATTGAATTCTCTCTCTACCTGATTTAAATGAATTACTGAAAAATATAACTTCATAATATTTATTTAACAATGTAATAGTTTTTACAAATCGGGATATTTCTCTATAAGGATTCCTATGATCCAATTAAAGAGCCTTCCTCCAAACTTTTTTCTTTTTGGATCTGCTGGCATTGTAAACGTAGACTCTCCTATTCTTGGTTGGCTTGGCAGTTGGGTATCATAAATACTTTGCTTGGCAGTGGCACCGACGAACCTGAATTTATCAGAATTGTTCATTAAACTTGTATACATAATACTCCGAAATTTGAAGACGAAATTTAGACAATCTCCATGTTCACTGCTCAATTGCAGTATTTTATGTTAATTGAACTATTTAAACAAAAATTGAGTCCAAAAGTCGTCTTTATATTCCCCAGTTTTATTTTCACCAATGTATTTCTTTAATCAACCTTTTTAAAATCCTACAATAATGCCTCAAAACTATTCTAATCAACTTTAAAAGACTTCTAAGTAAAAGGTCGTCCATTAATTCGCATTTTTAACGAAACTTTCTGTGATATTTTTTCTTCAATGGTGGATATTTCTGAAACAAAATCCTCGTAAATTAATTGAAGAGTAAGATTAATACGTTAATTTATGCGATATCATTTCTTAGTCTAAGATTAAACAGAAGACGACATTTACAAAAAATTTATTTACCGTTTATAATATTTGAAATTTCTGGTCCCCTCTCTTCTTCATCGCCTAAAATTCTATTCCATAGAACCTCAGGAACAATATTTGACGATATCTGAAAATTTTCACTAACAATTATTGGCTATTTTTAATACAAAAGAGATGCGTAACTTTATCACAAATTCAGCTATAATTCACCAGACGATCCAAATATCCAACAAATGATTAAATAAATTTTAAAATACAAATAAATATCGTTAATTTTAGCTATTTTTTAGCACAAAACATTCACAATTGAGTTAAATAACTAAGGTTTTAATGTCGATCGTTAGACTCCCAAACAACCAAAATAACCAATGACGTCAAAATACAGCTGTACTGGCGTACACAATAGTCGGATAAATTTCCAATGCCTCGTCTTTATAATTAGCAAAGTCTTTGCTCTATATTATATTCTCTATTTTATTATTTTAGGATTCCAACCTGTCCACTAGCGTCCTTACAACTTCTAAAATACATAAATCTTCATATGAACAATATCATCATTACGATCAGAGATTCTACAGTAGTCAGTAGCGCGAAGCACCAACATTTTATGTTTATTTGCTTAACTTTTGTAAAGAATTTGTTATGTCTGGTAAAATTTTGTAAACAATATGGAGGCAGTATCATGAGTGTTTTTTCCAGTTAGATCAATACTCGTTAAAATTTAGTTCATTTTTTTGTAAAATCTCTGACAATTTTTATAAATCTCATTTTAAATGTTGACTTTTTCAAATGCAAAACAAACACAAGTTAAATTTTTTTTTACAAGAAACTGCTTTTATTTATTGGTATGAAAGCGTAAAATACCAATTAAGTATAGTTTTAGATTATTTTATGCATTTATTGTATTTACTCATTAAATAATTAGAATAGTGGCATTAAGTGTTTTAGTTGTTGACCGTTAAATTACTCAAATAAATTTTACTTATGAAAGATGTTTTCTCTTAAAATCTCCAATTTAGCAAGACTGTTGGAGTGTTGTTCACTAGGAATAAGAATAAAGGGAAAGGAAATGGCGCTGGTTTAGCATGATAAAGCCAGTCGCACCGCTTTGCAGACGAGTTCGGTATTACACACGCACACTCTTTTGGTACAGACACACAACATGACTACAGTCAAGGAAATTGCAGAACAATGTCGTCAATTATGATTCAGCTTGATTAACGAGTAGTTAATTGTAAACTTGTCAAATTATATTCTTTGCATGAAAATATAGCTTTAAAGTGTTGACTTAAATGTTAAATTAATATATTAAATGTATATTAAATTTATTTTTAAGTAAACAATTAACAATAAACAAATGTACTCTCCAAGACTGTACAAATATCAAGATTCTTATGTACGGTATATACCTACAGTACACACCTTCGCTTCGGTATTCCTTACACACACTCTTTCGGTACAGACGCACATACATGACGTTTCCGCCCACTGGTTGTTCAACATTGTTTTAAAGTAAATAAAATTGAGATCTTGTTTTCAATCATGTCTCCTCGTTGAAGAACTATATGACTAAAACAAATATTTTTTTCAACATGTATTTAACCGAGTAATATTGCTCTCCACATACATACAGCTGTGCATAAATCCAAAACTAGAGAAGCTATCAGGCCCCAAAGTCTCATTAATTTGACCTTATCCTGCTGACTAGTTTAGTCTGCCCAATTATTACGATCTTGGTAAATTAGATCTCGGAATTCTCTTTTCTAAAGGTTTCTTATTGTTTCTTATTATTAAATGAATGCATTTAACAAAGCAAAACTGCCGTCTTTTCTCATGTAAATTTTTCGAGTTTGAATTCTCAACATTCTTTTGAAAGCAGAAACTTTCTCAATGTTCTAGGTATTTAACTGCGACATTCATGATTATTTTTTTCCAGCGCATTCAGGATTCTTTTTCCGGTAACATTCATGATTATTTTTTCCTGGAATTAATTTGTGATATGGTTCGTTGATTCAAGTGATCTATCTCTGTATGTGAAAGGAATTTTAAGTATTTTTTTGTAAATATAAAGTGTATAGCATTGGGAACCCAGCGCTGCCCAGATTTCTAAAAGTTACTTCCGCCGTTTACCCGCACTTGAACGATTTTACTGGGAAACTAAATTTTCCCTACTAAAGTAGATCCACTGAATTTAGAATCTCAAACCCAATCTAAGGACATGCCCGTAGCTCTCCCGAGTTCCCTAATAAAAATTTGAGGCAAATCGGTCCAGGGGTTCCTGAGTTATGATCGGACAAACAAACAGACAAACAGAAATTACAACTTTATATAAATTGATATATAGATGCTTTTATATAACTTAGTGATAGTGAGTAGTTGTGTCCACACGCACCTTTGACCCAATGTCATGCCGATAAAGTACAAACTTGGACCGGAATGGTTGACCCGGCCCGGAAATTCAAATGTACATACGGCTGTCCATGTCCAACAAAATGAAGAGACACGAAAAAAAAATAAGTGAGGAAATAAGAACATCCTTACCCACACACAGGATAAGACTTCAGAGACGACTTAACGAAATCTGTTAAGTCTTTTTCATGCCACTTTAAGTATTTTATTTAAAGACTACTAGCTGAAGGGCCCGGCGTTGCCCGTGGAAAAAAAATTTAAAAATATTTTTAAAAAATTTCAAAAAAAAATTTAAATTTTTTAGCCTATAACACCCCCCGGCCACCCCTGAGTGTCCACAAAAAATTGGTCCAGCCGTTTGGCCGGCTATACGCAACATATACAGAGTGTCCCAAAAAACATGGGAATTCAGTGACAAATTCGATATCGTCTTTGTTATGAATTAGCATTTTAATACCTAATTTCAAAGTCATAATATTATTATGTCTGGTAGATTTTATTTTATGAAAAGGGTAAAAGACTGTAAAGATGTGTCCATAATGTCTTCGCATAATGAAGAGTGAAGACGGTCAAGTTTGTATACTACAATCTTCTTGTTTTACTTAGTACATATCCGTATGCTGTCAAAACATAAACAAACAAAATGTGAACATAGCAGACGAAACTCTTACAGACTACAGCTTTCTCAGTAGGTTTCACTATACTAAATCAAAGAATTATTTAAAAAGACGATATCGAATTCGTCACTGAATTCCCATGTTTATTGGGACACCCAGTATATATATATATATATATATATATACGAATGTCTTGTTTTATTATATAGATAATCAATGGTAGAAGACCAAATTCCACCTTCAAATCGTCATGTCTCATTCTTTGCGGGTAACCCTGTATCTAAAGTTTATCTTGCGAGTTTAAAACATCTCTGTCATATCATTTAAGTCTGTAAATACGACAAGTTATAATGTAAACAAATCTTCTTACTTCACTGCAGTACAGTAACCAATATTAATTTTTGTTAAAGTTCATAATAAAAAAATGTTTTATTTGCGAAGGCTGCAGATCAACAAATACATATATATATTTTAATCATAATTATACAATTGTATATAATAATAATTATAATATAATAAAATTGTATAATAATAAATATACAATTTTATTAAAATGAAATACAGGCCACAGTGCTGCAACATGGAAAAGATTCACAACTTTCTCCTAAAAAAATCTCATTCAATATAAAAATAAATAAAGCTCGTTTTATAATGTATAAAACGTATAATAAGGTTTATAAGTGCGGTTTCCTTTTCGGAGAAAACTTATTAATTTTAATGTGAAATATAAATAGAATCCAATTTGAAGGTTTCATCGAAGAAAGGGTATAATTATATAATAATATTTAGAAAAACCACGGAAGAATAAAAACATGTTTGTTTTTATGACTCCAAATATCAAAAAAATTTAAAACTTTTACTGTTTAAAAGACACCTTTATTAAATGAACATATCATTTTCATTATATCGATACACCCTGCTAAAAATACCTGTATTTGCGCATAATTGATTTTTTGAACAGGATAGACCACAGGATTTATCCCCACATGGCATTTGCTACAAATTGATTTGAATATTTTTATACACAGGGTTACCCACCAAGGATGAGACTTTAAAGACGACTGTACATAATTTAAACTGTTTGTTTCAATGTATCCATAATTTCATGCAACTTAACCTTGTTTCATTATATAAGCCTTAAAAAAACTCAAAGTCATGGTGGAAGACTTTATTACCCTTGGGATCGACATATTATAAGAGTTTCAGGTCGTCTTTAAAGTCTCATCCTTTGTGGTAAAGCCTGTAAATATGCTTTATAATTAAAGATGATTTTGTCCATTTTATTTTTTATTTTCATTTTTTTCATATAATGCCCAATTATAGTATAAAAATTGGCGGCGTATTAAAAGTATTTTTTTTTTGTTTTTTATGAACGGTTATTTTTCATTCATTTTTTTTATATTCTTTAGTTTTCTTTCATTTATTTTTTATTCATTTATTCATTTATTTATTCATTCTTTTATTCATTTCTCCATTTCTTAATTTTTTCATTTTTTATTTTTTTTTTATTTTTCCTCTTTTCATTTTTTACTTTTCCCTTCGGTTTAGTTACCTTGTTTTCTTCTTGCTTAGTAACAGAGAAAGGTTTGTGAATGTCGTCTTCGTTTATATTCAAGGAATCTTTAGTCCACGTGGAAGAGAGATCATCAATACCAGTTCCTTTAAAGTCTATTTTCAGCCTGTACTCGTTTTTTTTTTTAATGATATTGGATTATTTACTGTTTATAAATAAATAATCTTTCATGACGCTTCGCGCCCATCTTCTATTTCAATTGTGAACATTCTCTCTTTGACATTGTAGAACAAAAACAAAAAAGTTCGTGGAGCTAAAAAAAAGTGCGGGGATTTTCAAAATTTTATGAAAATCGAATTTTGTTTGAGGCTAGTTTTTGAAATTTTGACCATCCATAAACCTTCTCTGGGGTCATATGAGGTCATGTATTTTGGGCCCGATACAAAAAGACAAGCAAAGTATACATAAAAATATATTTGTCTGTATATCAAGTTCAGTTTGCTCGTGGTGTTCCAGTTTAGACCAAAATCGACAATTTCAAGTCCAGGGATTTAAAAAATGTGGTCTGCCTTTATTTACCTTCAAATTAGCGGAAATATCAAGAAAATTTTCTAGATTTGAATTAATCAAACAATATCAAAGTTGTCTACATATTTTTACATTCATTTTTCAAAGAAAAAACGTTAAGTACATTTATACAAGCTTTTAATAAACAAAAATTTTCTTTAATCAATTATTTTAAAGAACCTGTCAAATCATTCGTTGGGATGTTTAGAAAGATGAAAATTTCCCTGTATGATAATTGAAGGACTGCAGTATAATAATTCACCAAAACCATACTGCAGTACTTCAATTATCATACAGGGAAATTTTCATCTTTCTAAACATCCCAACGAATGATTTGACAGGTTCTTTAAGATGATTTCTACTTTTCATGTTGATTGGGTCACTTTGTACCTGATTTAACAGTGCAGGGGCAGGAGGTGTCACACGCTGGTGTCTTCATCAAATAAAATATTATTTTATAGAATAGGAGTTTTTGAACTAATTTAGATTTGTCTATCCGTTTTACTATCAACACCAAAATTGTAAGTCTTAGAATGGTAAATAACTAACAACATTTGATAATATATAGAAGTTAAAGATCCATGTATTCAGAAAGTTGCATATTTGATATTAAAGAAATGTTTGCATTGAGAAAATTTTATGTTTAAATATTCTTCTCAGTATTTATAATCGGCTGTAAAACTTATTTAATCTTTTTCACCTAACGATCGGGTCGATACAAATCTTTCAAGTTGTTCTTAACGTCTAATTCTTTACGGGTGACCCCGATTGTTAAACATGTTAATGTTAATATTTTTTTTCCTTTTCGTGACATTCTGGACAGTCTTGCCTCGAGCATTCAAGCAGTAAGCAGCAAACAGGCCTGGAAAGGTAAATTTTGAACCTTTCTTTGTGTAACTATAGAGTAGGAACATGTCACTATTCTATCCAATGGAAGGTTAAGTGCTAGATTTGAAAGAGAAATTATACAGTTGAAAATTAATTGTGTTTTAGATAGAACATCTTCATCTTCATCTTTTTGTTCAAAGGTTTATAGGGTACCGTTGTGAATCAGGCATGGACCCAAAGAGAATAGAATATATATTAGTGGAATTTACTAGAAAAAAGTGTAAAACGGCCATTTTGTTGTACTGTTTCCATACTGCAGGTGTACTTCACATATTTGTGCTATATAACCTTTTGGGCCCTGGAACATCATTTTATAGAAAATCTAAAATTAATATTAAAAGAAAACCAAATTATGAAATTGGCTGGTTTCATAATTGACCAATGATCATTTCACATAGACTCTATGCCTTTCACTTTACAAACGATGATTTTCCGTTTTAACTATAAATCAAATGATATTTTTTATTAACCTAATTCATTTTATAAGTTTATTTAACAGCTTTAAAAAATTCGAAATTGAAATGGATAGTCTAGGGAATATACTGTACATTAATGTACTCTACTGCATATAATTTGTGAACATTTATATGATTTGTACACTTTTAACTCCGTTTCAGGCTGAAAGTGACTGACAAATTCATACCGAGGGATTGTCTAAATTTCCATCTATTATAAATTCTATTTTCTTTGCATGGACCTCTATAACTTGAGGGTCACTTGAAACTAATATTATAACAATATAAAATTAAATGTTGTGTAATTTCAGTAGTTTCTGTAGAAGTAAATATTTCCATTTACTGTTTAGCACCGATATTTAAGGATTCATCTCTAATTGGATGATGAGATAGATAGAAAGATATAAATTAGCCCCATACTATTTCCATTGGTTTAGAACAGACATCAAACACATGACTGAACCTTGGTTTGATCAGGCGCTAATGGAATCGGCAAACAATGTGCGAAATAGTAAACAAAAAGCTCCTTTTCTGAACGCTGCGCTCGGCCCAATAATTTCGTTAAAAACTGACAACCAGTTATATATTCAAATATAGACATAGGAAGAATTTTAAAATGTAGTATTCTTAACTTTCTCATAATGTAATTTTTTAATCAAATGATTTTAAGGAGCTTTTCAAAACTATTTCAGCTTATTCATGGCTATTTATTGATTTTTGCAATTACTGAGATTTACGTAAAATAGTATAAAACCCACTGAAAAATTGCCAAGAAGACTTTCCAGTTTACCATATTTTCTTTCGATGTCTTGAAATCTCTGGGGTTAACTGTATCATACACGGTGGTAGACGATTATAGCAATATAATGAAGACGACTGTCGATTTCAAATTTGGTTAATATCTAGCTTTTAAAAAGCATTCATACACGAAAACACGGAAACAAAGAGAATCTGTCAATTTAAAAAGCTTCTCTTTAATTACTTGTAAACTTGTAATCCGAAAAAAGCTTGTTAACAATAAAATATTAAATAAAAAAGTCGTCTTCATTATATTGATATTATCGCCTACCACCAAATTTAACGCATACAAAACTCCATTTAGACAGCTTTGCCTTTGATGAAATATGTGATTAGAAAGTAATTTGTTTTTCTTCTCAATTAAATTTTGTTATTTGATATGAAAACTGCACCTACCTGCAGTCTGTACAGTACGGTTTAATGTTCGGGGATGATTTCATTAAATCAACAATAGATGGCGCTGATGTAGTTACTGAGAATAATAAACTGCACACTAGGAAACAGGTGTACATAGCTATCTAATGATAAAATATGATGTAGAATTCAATTTAGTGTATGATGGCCATTTACAGTATTTTCTTTGAATGACGAATATGTATTTGTCTTAAAGGGACTGTAAGCCTAATATCAAGTGACACACCATGCAAAGATCATTGAAATAAAGAGATGACATAAGATTTTAATATTAAGTGTCATTGACAGCAATACTCTTTGTCTCATGTAGACTGAATGATATTGATCTTGAAGCAAGGTACAGGGGTACCCAGAAAAAATAATACTTCAGAGACGACTGTACGAAATTTATACTGTCTGTTTCCTAATATTTTTGATTTACTGGAACTGTAAAATCATTTATTTCTTTAAGAAATCATTATATATCCCTTTTTAAGACTAAATTTAAGGCAGACGTCTTATTCCAACCTTTACATTTTCATATTTCAAGAGTTTAATGTCGTCTTTAAAATCTCATCCTTTGTGGGTAACCCTGTATTAGACATAACTTGCATTGTGCACGTTAAAGGAAAAGCGACGGATTGATCAATAAAGTTCTAAAAAATCTTCATATTTCCCAGGACACCCTGTTACCCACTGGTGATAATTTTGCCTTTAAATAAACGGATTGAGGAAAACTATTAACACTTGTAAAACTACTTGCTTGCTTCTGCTTCATACCAAATATATCTTTGACAATTTTAGTCTCATCGTAGAAGTATTTATCTCATTAGCACTAATTAATAAAAAGATGTTTATCCAAGCAAATAAACATTATTTCTTTTCTTTAGTAAGAACACGGAAAAAATAAAAAAAATAAAAGAAAAGAAAATGAAAAGGAAAGAAAAGGACAAGAAAATAGAATAAATAAAATACAAAAGAGAAAGAAAGAAACTGGGAAAGATTCGAAACAGAAAAGATTGGAAAAGGAAACCAAAGAAAAGGAAAAGGAGAAGAAAAAGAAAGGAAAACAAAAGGGAAAGAAAAGGAAAAGAAGGAAAAAGGAAAAGAAAGGAAAAGATTAGAAAACGAGAAAGAATGTCAAAGAAAAAGAAAAAAAGAAGAAAAAGAAAAGGAAAAGAAAAAGAAAATGAAAAGAAAACGAAAAGAATGTCGAAGGAAAAGAAAGAAAAGAAAAAAGAAAACGAGAAAGAATAGAAAAGATTGGAAAAGGAAAAGAAAAAAAGGGAAAGAAAAGAAGAAGAAGGAAGAAATGGAAAAGAAATGAAAAAGGAAAGAAAAGGAAAAGAGAGGGAGTGAGGAAAGATGAAGGGAAGGGGGAAGGGGAGATGGGGGAAGGGGAAAGGGGAGATGAAGGGAAGGGGGAAGGGGAGATGAAGGAAAGAGGGAAGGGGAGAGGAAGAGAGGAGAGGGAGGATGTTCACCAGCTATGGTTAGATTATCACTGTTAAATCTGTGCTAGCCTGGAGGAACCAGGGGAACCAGGATCCCGGAACTAGAAATTACAAAATATTTCACAAAAAGCTAGAGATTAGAAAACTAGAGATTAGAAAACACGCAAATAAAAATAAACTTACAATTTTTACAATCCTCTCGACAACTGAAAATTTCAAAATTGCTTCTTTTTGATAAAAATTCTTAATTTTTTAAGATTTCCTTGACAGTAATAATAATTATTATATTATCGCCAGTCATGTCGTTTCATAATATTGACAAAGAAAAGAAAGATCTGCCTTTGTGCATGGGGAGTGGGGACATGCATTGTAATTCAGGCAATTACATAAGGCATGCAACTAATAATAATCCCCCTGAGCCAAAATAACCCCCCTAACCATCTTTAAGTTTGCTGTCTCTTCTTAGAAGATTTATCCAAATAGATTCTAGTACAATAGATGGCAATGTAGAATTTTTACACTCTCAGTACAGCTGTATTCTTACGTCACAAGTGTCAACTTAGTTTTTTTGTGTCCGACAAACTTATTAATAATAGTGATAATTTTAGAATAAAGTGCTTATCTTACAGTAAAATAAGTGCAATTTTATGTTTTCTTTATGTTCTGTTTTTACACTTTTTATTTAATCTTGGAGAACATGTCAACTAATGTGAGAAAATTTGTTTTTCTTGTTATATTTGACACTTGACGTGACGCTGAGTATAATTGATCCGTTTCCCTGTTCACACACCCCTGACCCTTTAGTAAAAGTAAATTCAACCCAAAGTCTGACCGCGTCAACCTTGATGCACCGACTAGTCCTATTGAATGTCTGCTTTATTTACCCAATATCCGGGCAATACAGTACAAACTGGGACCGATAAGGTTGACCTGAGATGGAATTTAAAGAATTTGAGCCGCGGTTTAAATCTGCCAAAACCCGGTTTAAATTAAGCGCAGGCTTAAATCTTGAGACATTTGATACAATTTTAAGTGGAACCAACCATATTTAAGCCGCAGCTTAAATTTAAACCGCCGCTCAAATTCTTTAAATTCGGCCATGCGGCTCGGAAATTCAAATGTACTACAACTGCCCGTTTGACGTTGCCACCTATTGTACTTTATAATCTGTTTGGATTTATCCGTTCCTATCTAACTCTCTATGTACATATAAATACTAATTACTAATTGAACGGTTGCATCTAAAAGGTTAGCAAAACCAAAATTATTCAGAAAAAAAAGATAAAATTGTATTTTTGTTTATCAGTTCCTTCTATCCAACTGCCCCCCCCCCACCTTCAGCCCCCCCTTTAACCACCATTGAAATAAATACATACACTGAAATACTGGCATTTGCAGGATTGAGTCCAATGATTTGCAATTATTTACAAATTTAATATTGGTAAAAATTTAATAGTTGTTTCCAGAGATGCAAAAGCAAAGGTTGTGAACGATCTCTTTCACTGTGTCTAAATTGTTCTAAGCTGCTAAATAATATTTTATATTTTGTCTGAACTGTATTGAATTAATGGCTCAGTTACATTTCATACAGTTACACTTGCTATAATTATAATTTCCTCTTTATATTTTCTATAAGGTACCTTCCCTATAAAGTAACACTTTTGCAAATTCTAAATTGATTTTACAATTATGTAGCCGCGGCGCTCGGCCCCCTAGCCTGTTCTAGCGGGGGTGTTCGGTCCAGAAATTGTCTTAACCTAACCTAACCCTACATAGTGTGTAATTAAAGGAAATGTAACCTTATGGGACCTGAATGACATTCCATAACATGGTAAAATTCAAATTAAGCAACTCAACCTAGCCATAGTATCAAAATTAAAACTGTTCTTACTTATTCAACTTTTGTGCTAGGTACCTCTAATTGAAATCAATCGATCGGAAATGTAAAAAGTTTTAAAATTGAGCACTACAAAATATCTAAAAGATCGCTGTTTTGAAACACCCTGTATGGTCACAAAATACTCCCAGTTCTGGCTCTGAGATGTATATTAAAAATTACAATTATCATTTATTCTATATTGACAAATAATGATTGTACACTGTACAGTTTAATTTACAAAGCTTACAAATAACATTATTAAATATATAAGTTAAAACCATATTTGTAATCAATAAATGTTATCTTTCAGAGCTGAATGGTCAATCTTCTGGCATTAGAAAGAAAATATTTATTCTTTATTTTTAATTGATCTTTATTTTAAGTTCATTCCTCTTATTGATTGAAATGATCAGAAAAGCCCCAAAAGTAGACTTAATAATAAAAGCCCTGAACAAATTTTGAAACTGTTTGCGGCATTACAATCGTCTTCCTCACAGAAACACATGTGCCCAGTTCCTCCACCCTCTGTCATACAAACATGGCCGACCATGAACAGGTTTATATCCAGCTGATCAGTACATGTCCGCCTCACACTCTCAGAAGCTAAAGAAAGAATAAAGTATTTAAATGAAAAACTTAGTTTCTTATGATAAAATATTTAATTATTTTATCCATTAATTTACTTATTTATCAATTGGAACAGAAAAGATTAAATATTAATTGATTAATTAATAGATTACCAGTTCCTGCTTTGCTTACAAGTTTCACACAACATCCTTCGCATTCCCTGCGGGGTGGCATGTCCTTAAAACATAATCTTTTATCAGCTCAAAACTTTCAAGCAGTTCTTAGGATTCGCAACACTTTGGCTTCCTGGATCCGGATCAGGATCCGGATCCAAAAGGCAGCATTTCTATCAAAAAAGTAAAGAAAACCTTTTATCTGTTAAAACCCAAATCTTAACTGTTAAAAAAGGGAGTTTTTAAAAAATATCTTTTTCTCTGAATGACTCAACAAGTTTTATCATAAAAATAAGCTTAAAATAGAAAAGAAATAATTTTAAATTCTACTTTTGTTGAAAAAACTCAGTAAATCTTAAAGAAATGTTCAAGACTTGGATCTGGATCCGGATCCAAAGATTTTCATTCCAGATCCAGGATCGAAATCTGTACCAAAACGAAATGGATCCTAAAAGCACTGCGTTCAAGTCTAATGAAATAATCTTTAAGACCTAAAGTAGAGAGACGAAAACTGCAACTGTAAATTAGCATGGATGCATTTAATATTTTTGTTATAAATTATTGAGCAAATGATAATTTTTCAAATCCTCTTTTGTTTTAAAATCAAGCTAAACGATTCAGCGAAGATAAAAACTCCACTTACAAAAACAATTCTAGAATGAGGTTAAAACTTGCCTCAAACTCTAGTTTTGTAAATCCCCATAATATGCGACCTAATATTTTAAACTTTTATTACTTATTCTTGTAGAATTTGTAATTTAAAACATGAAAAATCTACGGCAGTAGGTTGCAAAGATATGAGATGAAGAAAATTTTAGTTTTTGACAAGTGTTTAGTTACAATAACAGTAGTATTCTTCTTATTTTGTTACTCTCTTGCTTTGTGATTTTGTTTAATATGAACAAAAAGAGTAAAAATAGATAGAAAGATAAATTACAGTTTATATTATATAGCACTATAGTTTCAGTAGAAGTAAATATTTCCATTTACTGTTATAGCGCCGATCTAAGGATTTATCTCTAATTGGATAATAAGCTAGATAGAAAGATAGATGTTACCGCTATGCAATTTCTATTGGTTCAGAATAGACACCAAACACATGACTGAACCCTGATTGGATCAGGCGCTAATGGGCTTTGCATACAAGAGTGATAGATTACGTATTTTAGATATATATCTAAAGGTTGCATGTAAGTCTATTCAATAATATGACAAATATCATAGAATAGGATAAATTAGAAAAGTCCCAATATTATTTCGGAAACAAGAATATCTAGAGCTGGGGACGTTTTTTTCAATTGTTCAAAAAAATTATTTCATTCGTTTAATTTTCTCACTGAACGATCCATCAGTGAAACCGTTTGTTCTAAAGAATTGTTCGTTCAGTAAAAATATAGTTTTTTTTTTCAAAAATATGTTTTAAGAAATTGTTCGTTTAGAAAAAAAACTATCGTTTTTCAAAAATGTTGCTCATCGTTCGTTCGTTAGAAAACTATAGTTTTTTCAAAATACAAATTTAAAACAGAATAAAAGCAATCTCTAATAATAAATATTTCTTTAAAATAATTAAAAGATATTTTTTTTACAAAATCTCAAAACTTTAATGAAAAAGATCCAATTTATTAATCAGTCTGATACAATATGAAAAGAATTAAAAGTTAACATTATTAAAATACATTTTAAAATACATTTTACCGCTGCACGTTCTTATTCTCAGATCTTTTCACTGAAAGCCTTCTGCTTAAATAATTAGACTGAACTAAATTATTGAATTTACCAAATACAATTTTTTTTCCATAATCCAATTTCGATAAAAATGAGAGATTTTTTTATATTGTGCAGTATATTTAAATCTAAAAACCTAATTAAATATAATGCATAAAATAATCAATATTTTTCAAAAGACAATTCGATTATCATACTTTTTTTGGGCTCGATCACACGCTCCCCTTTCTTACCGGCTCTAAGAAACTAAGTATTTGTCATAAACTTTGATTTTATGTTCTCTATATGCTTGCGAACACCCTTTAATATTTCAAACTATGAATTCTGTTAGATCTATTAATAGAACTGAAATAATACAGGTTCACGCCATCAGGTTGCAAAGATATATGCAATAAAAAGTTGAGTTCCAAAATTTTTTAAGTTCCTTTGTCTAAAATCCCATACAAATATGTCTGAATCTTTAAAAATAGATAAACGGTGATCTTCCATAATGGCTGCTGAGATTGAGATGTGCGGGATATGCATCTCTGAAGGAAGGGGTCAATTTATATAATAATTAATATTTAATATTTGTTTTGTTTACAATGCACTTAAACGCCAAAATAGTTGGCCGCAGAGATACCTAGCGGAAAAGTCGTTTTAAGTGCATTGATTGTATATAAAACAAAGAACAAATATTATGAAATATTAACTTTATACAAAGGCGTCGAAAAATAATCGATGACTTTTGGTTGAATGATTTGTTTGAAATTAAATTGATCATTTTACGATACAAGTCGTATATAGCAACTTTCTTAATTTTTATGGACGCTACGTTCTTCAGTATAAGTCGTAAATCGTTTTTAACAATTTTCTCCTTATAGACGCAACAGATATAAGTAAGATTAGTAGAGATCCAAAGCGATTATTTTTCTCCGTAAGCTTATACCCCCTTTATTTTTTCGCGAACACTTCCTTTCATAGAGGCTAAACCTTGAAAGAGCACAACAGTACCAACCTCTAAATGGTTTGTGAATTTGAATGTATCATGGCAGCGCGGATCTTGCCAGCTAAACAACGAGCATTTAGAATTTTAGATTCAGACAATCTTTCATATGTTTATAAGGTATTTGATATGGATAGGATTATGCTTTTAGGGTTTATTGACCTCTCTAAGAGAAAATTGCATAAAAATGAATTGAACTTTGTACACGCAGCCAGGTTCGAAAAATCAATGATTACGAATTTTTCAATATCAAAACTTTTAGATTTTTATTGAACTGTTGATTGAAGTTAAAACGATAAAAAATATTTTTCTTTTAAAACTATAATTTTTCAAATTAGCTCTGACTTTTATGTACAAGAACTACCCATAAAAGCATAGATATAGTAGAATAGAAAGACGACATTTAAGCAATCTTATGCTTTTGTTGTATTGAAAATATTTTAACCGTAGAGAGCCTAAAAATACGGGTCTCATTGTTTTGTAAAGTTGCCTGCAAAAAAAGAGACATTTATAGCGCCGTTTTGAACCGTAGTACTGGCATGGTCTCCAAAAGTTTAGAATTGTCCTAGACCGTTATTATAAAGCCATACACTGTCATGAATGCTTGTTCATTGTGAAGAAATGTTACAGGTAAAAGTTTTTCTAAAATTCTAATTGTTCCTGTTGCACTCAAAGCAGTCTATCTTATGTCCGACCGCTGAAATAAAAACTGATTAATTATCTTCAATTATTATTATCAATTATTCCAGGGTTAGGCTAGAGGGGGGGGGGGAGGAATTTCTTAACCATTTGTGATTTTCAATTTACCGGCAATGGTCGTTAAAACATTTTTATATGATATTCTAAAAATATGGTTTATTTTATATTAAACCTGATATCTAAGAATTGCGTTTTATTTTTGTTTTTACTCGTATGAAATCGTTCAACATGACGTAAACTTTTAAATAAAAAAACATTTATGCATTAATATTCATACATTCCTATACATACATCACTATACATACATTCCTATACATACATTACTACACATACATTCCTATACATACATTCCTATACATACATTCCTATACATACATTCCTTTACATACATGTAGTAAATGACCTACTCCATAAAAGGCTCTCAGACCTGTATCTATTTAGGTACAATTCATCAGCTATCAATGTCAAAACAGAAAAAGCTCTTAATCTATTAATGGGCACGATCCTCAGCCTGTTTATCAAAACATGGATCGGTTACTCTCTCACAGTAAACAGTACGGAGTCTCTATTCCAACTAATTTATTTTAGGTAGCCATGTTACAAGTTAACGTTAATTCGCGTAATTTACAAGTTTTACTTCGATATATACACACAGCGTAGTTTAAGTTTTAATGTACGTATTTATAAGATTATCTATATCACATGATTAAGCCAATCCTGTTATGTATTTACAGCACAATTATATCACATGATTAAGCTAATCATGCTAAGTATAAATTTGAAGCGCAGTTTTAATGAATAATGGGTTTTACGTAGAGGTTTACAGATGTAGATAGGTAATAATGTACAACATAGATTTAGGTTTACAGACATCGTGTTACAAAATATTAACTATATACATTCCCATTAATGAAACTTACACATGCACTCCATAACAGCTTCGTTAAAGGGTAGATCGTGAAGGAATATTAGGAAGATAATCAAACCTAAATAATGAATTACTTGATTTTTTTCAAGAATTAAATTTTTTAAGTGATGTCGAGATCTTTTTCACATGGATTTAACGGTTCTGTCAACATATCAGAAAGCTTTGGCTGTCGATCACAATTTGAACCATTATACATAATATTTTAGCCTTTTTTCTTAAATACTTTTTTGTCGGCATATACATTTTGAATGAAAAAGTAAAAAATTAACAAAGCCTTAAGTTTAAAGATTGTTGAATTATAGACTAAAAGACGTTTGATTTCAAATAAATGAAACCGAATGCTTCTCACTCTTATTAGTCTGGGGTGTTTTTTCAAGTGTTTTTTTCAATAAACCGTAGCAAGGGATTTATGTGTTTTTCTTTAAAAAGCACAAAAAATGAACACCCACCCCCCATTGCTTGCACTGAGCCCGCAATTTAAAAATTTCAGCTAGATCTGTAATTCCATAAATCCGACTTTAAGACCCATTCCTCGACCCAACTCTGACGACAGCTTGTGTCACATGATTGACACCTGCAAGATCTTCGGCTCGACTTAAGGAGTTAGGCCCAATGAAAATAAAACCGACCTTGGTTGGTTTTAGTAGATAAGGCTCAATGTTGAGTCGTGTTCTCTTAAAAACCCGGAATGCACCAATTCCTTCCATGAAAAAATCCACCAAAAAGAATATTGATGCGGTTTTGTGACCTCAACTCTTTGGAAAATAATATGCTGTTTGAATCCAAAAGCTTAAGTCGTAAATAAGGCCCAACACCAGCTTATCGACACGAGCCGTATTTCCCGATTTTTTTTTTAAATCGCGGGCTCTGTTATAATTTAGATGTTTAAAACTAGGTACACTTATTTAAAATATTATAAACATAATGTTTGTAGTATCTAACAAACTTTTTTACACCTAACATACCGTTCTGAATTTCGAATAAAATGTTCGCAGTTTCTAAATGTATTATTACCTTTCATTTGCCGGATCATTTATCGATTGTGTTATCGTCAACTGCAGCTAAACCGAATATTCCTGGGACAAATTTGTTCTATTGTAAATTCACCACACAAATCTTTTGGATAGTTATGTGTAAAGAACATTCGAGAAATGTCTACTTTCCAGTGGCTGTTTAGATCCAAGGATGTTATACTTCAAAAATAGATTTTATAAAGTTAAAACTGGTGCAAAAATGTCTACAAAATCAAAAACTGTTTTCCTTAAAAATGTTCCTCTTTGCCAATACAATCTCTTAGATTGCATAATTTATAGTTTATTAAGCCAGGGCAGAAATAAAAAGATTGGCGAAAACCGAACGTATAGAAACCGCTAGTTATAGAAACAAGGCGTATTTGGCGGGAGAATATGTTTATATTTTAGAGAAATTAAAATTTTTTGTAAAACATTTTACCTTATCATTAACAATATCATTATTTTATTTGTTAACTGTTTTATTGTGTACATTTGTATTGCTCTTTATTGTGTTTAAGGTCCCCCAGATTTTAATATGTACTGACATCATAAATGATTGCATGATTACATAAAATTCCGTGTTTCTATTAAAAAAAACTATTTTATAAAAATGATATCTACAGTTTATTTTTACAAAAAAAATAATTTCTCAAAAATATAAAAAAAAGTTCTCCGGTAATGCTAATAAAATTTCGTGTTACCATTTAAATAAAAGGATTTTATGAAAATGAGATCTACTTTTACACTGATTATTTAATTTTTCAAAAATATAAAAATATTCTCCCGCGAAATACGCCTTGCTGCTATAGCTAGAGGTTTCTTTACCTTCAGTACGTTTCCATAATGTTTGACTCCACGTCTTTAAAAAAACTTATTTTCACATTTCAAAACTGTGAAAGGATCCTTTGGGTTTTACTACAGCCTGAATCTTATTGGGCATGAAATGGATTTTGAGGTCTTTTAGAGGATCTTTTTTAAAATGCAGTGATCAGAGTTCCTTTCAAAGATTGGAGTTTGAACTGTCTAGGTTTGACTTTCTCAAGCTTATTACTGAGGAAAGCTGATATATTTTTGATTGTAGACAGGTCAAGGCTGTTGGCTACTGCCATATCTTTGATCCAAAAGGACATTTTTTTGCTCAAAGTAGCCTCGGAGTCCTGAGGATGAGCTCTATCCTGCTGATAGTTTAAATGAGATACTAAATCCAGCCTCCAGGTGGCTGTACAAAATGTTAACTGAACAGTATATTTTGACTTGCACATATTTACTTTTTGCAAATATTATTTAGTAATCAGGGAATATAAAAAGATAAAATATGTATAAGTCCAAAGTAATTTTCTGAGGCCCACATTCAGCCCACCAATCCTTTTGATCCACCCTATATTTGGAAATCGTGTATTCCATAGATCTGAGGAGTGAAGAGTGAAGACTAGAAAAAATTATATTAACAAAAATGTATTTTTAGTTTACCAATATCAAATGTTTTAAAATTTTATATTCTACTTTTATTTATAAATGTTAATCCATGAAATTCGATCATAAAAAACGTTGTGCCCATTTTCGATCTTTACCTTTAACTGTTACTCTTTTAACAACTTTTTACGGGTATTTTTAAAAAATCGAATTTTTTTTTTGCCCAACTGACTTGAAAATGACTAAAAATTAAAAAAAACTTTCCTTGCTAAATTCTTTTTTATTTCTCGCCTATAAAAACAACAAAAAATCTGCGTTTTTTGTTTTGTTTTAAAAACGTACAACAAGAACGATTTGAAGTCTTAAAGGGTGGTAAAACTTTACTAAATTGTTTACTTGAAAAAACCAGAGGTCCAATATCATGACAGTATAAACCAATTAAAAAGTTTCTGTACGGCATCAAGCTATTAAAGAAAAGTTTATTGAAACTAGGTATTCAGGCTTTCTATTACTAACTTAAATGGAGTGTTCGCGAAAAATAAAAGGGGGTACATGTTGAGGTCGAATTGAATTCGATATCGATCGCTACTAATTTTACTTAAATCTGTTGTATTTATAAGGAGAAAATGGTTAAAAACGAGTTAAACCGAAGAGTTCAGGAGGACCCATACAAAATAACGGAGTTGTATTTTTTCACTCAGATCGCAAATAATTCAATTAAATTTAAAACTTCTCATTCATACATAACAACCTGCAAATTCATTTCTGATAACATTTCTTTATTTTTAAAATATTGTTTCAGGCTCTATTTTTTTTAATTTCGACTATACGCAAAAACCTTTCATGGGGTCTATAGTTGCGACACAAATTGGGCCTGATTTTTTAACACACACAAGCAGACAGACAAACAAAATATATATACAGCTTAATCTGTAACAAAAATAACGGTCGGTAACCTTTTCTATGGGGAAGTGGGAGTGGCAGGGGGGAGGGGGGGGGGGTATTACCTTATGAATTGTGACTATACATAGCTGCAGAGCGAATTGGTGGTATGCAAACTCATATTTTTTATGACGTATTGTCTCTGCAAAACACAGATATAATTCAACACAGTAAACAAAATGTGATTTTGCTTCATAATAGCATCTTTAGTTTATCTAGAGAATTTGTAATTCTTCAAAAATTTATAAATTGTTTAATATTTCCGCCAAAATTAAAGATACCAAGTAGCAAGACCACATTTAGGAGAGTTCATAATATGAAACAAATTTATTTTTGATATACGTATGCAGTGCACGTATACAGTTACACGCTTTGTCATTTATCACTTATTGGAAATAAAAAGTTGTCTTAATTTCCATGTTTGTTAAAACACCCTTTAAAACAAATTATTTGAAATTTATGATCAAGTGACACATTTTTTTCTAAGAAATTTAAATTAAAAAAGTGTATAAAATGAAACTAATCGTGTCCCTTGATGTCGGTACCCAATACCCATGGATCGTTAATTAAATGTTTTTTCTTCAATGATTAAAATGTTTTAAAGAGAGAAAACCGTTTTCTAGATCAAAAAAAAGTATCGCCTTTTCTAGGATTCACGACATAGTAAGTTCTCACTAGTATGGGTGGATGCCATATACTAGAAGAAGGGGGGGGGGGGCAACACTTACTTGAGGTTGATCAAATTATAATTAACATAAAATAAAAAATAGTTTAAAAATTAGCCAATAACGACATAACGACAGCAGGTTCTTATTTCCAGACGGGAGCTCTCAGCGTCCAAATATAGTCTTTATGCGTTCAATGCTAGGCATGAGAAAAAAATAGTTATAATTCCAGAAAAACACAACTTTTTTATTGTATTCAGTTCGGTAAGGGGGATAAGATATATCTAGGGGGTTGCAACAACGCTCCCCCCCCCCATTAAGAAGTTTAGGAGGGGCTAAGTCTATACCTTGCCCGCTATATATCTCTTTTGTCACTTGCACTGACAATTTTTATTTGTATATTAGTTTTTATCAGAGGTTGTTATACTCTCTCTACACTAGGATATATATGAAGGCACTAGGACCCAGATTCAATAGAGGATAGAGGCAGTGGGAGGATGAGGCCGTGTGAAGAGGGTGTATTGGGGGGGGGGTTGCCCTGGGGGGGAGGGTTGCCTTGGCTACAATCCAGATTGATACACATAAGAAATTCAGCGTCGTTGAAGACGACTTTTACAGAAGGATACAGAATACAGAACACAGGATACAGAACACAGGTTACTGGATACAGAACACAGAATACAGAACACAGGATACTGAACACAGGAAACAGAATACTGAACACAGGATACAGAACACAGAATACAGAACACAGGATACAAAACACAGAATACAGGATACAGAAGGATACAGAATACAGAACACAGGATACAGAACACAGGATACAGAACACAGGGTACACAACACAGGATACAGAACACAGGATACAGAACACAAGATACAGAACACAGGATACTGGGCACATGATAGAGGATACAGGATACAATATAAAGGATACAGGATTCACACATGATACAGCATACAGGATGATCTTAAATAGTGTAGGAGGGCCTGGCCTTAACAGTTTGCGCTTACTAAAAGTTCATAATGAAAATTAAAAACAAAACAAAAACTCTGGTTGTTGTTTTTAAGGAAAGAAACTGTTTAATTTTAAAAAAACATGTTTTGAATAGTATTAAAACTATTTTTCGCTTCCTAAAATAAAGGTAAAGTTTCAAAGCTAAAAAAACCTGCAGTTTTTTATACACATTTTTCTGATGTAGAGATATCGCGAATATAAGTCACATGTTCAAAAAAACGATGTAACTAGCAAAATCAAACATTTTGTCAGGAGTTTTTGTTATATTTGAATAAAAGATAGATTTAGAATGTAATCAAATATTCTATTCATCATTGACAAGTAAAAACAACAATATCAATAATAATAATAATAATAATAATAATAATAATAATAATAATAATAATAATAATAATAATAATAATAATAATAATAATAATAATAATAATAATAATAATAATAATAATAATAATAATAATAATAATAATAATAATAATAATAATAATAATAATAATAATAATAATAATAATAATAATAATAATAATAATAATAATAATAATAATAATAATAATAATAATAATAATAATAATAATAATAATAATAATAATAATAATAATAATAATAATAATAATAATAATAATAATAATAATAATAATAATAATAATAATAATAATAATAATAATAATAATAATAATAATAATAATAATAATAATAATAATAATAATAATAATAATAATAATAATAATAATAATAATAATAATAATAATAATAATAATAATAATAATAATAATAATAATAATAATAATAATAATAATAATAATAATAATAATAATAATAATAATAATAATAATAATAATAATAATAATAATAATAATAATAATAATAATAATAATAATAATAATAATAATAATAATAATAATAATAATAATAATAATAATAATAATAATAATAATAATAATAATAATAATAATAATAATAATAATAATAATAATAATAATAATAATAATAATAATAATNACATTAAATTGCATGCTTAAAAAGTCCCACGATAGGATGATAGTGTGTACTAGCCTGGGAATAAATATGTCTCCTGCAACAATCCTTATATTCAGAATTCAGATTTTTATTATCATTTTTTTAAAAAAGCACCATCATTTCTTCATTTTTGACATTTCAAATTAAATTCTCACTAGCTTGGGAACCCAGCGTTGCCTACATTTAAAGAGGATCAAACCCAGTTCCACTGGCGTAGCCTTTAAACCCATATCAGATCAATAAGGTGGAAGAAATCGTTGTTTTTCTAGATAGTGTTTAATTCTCAGTATTTACTCTGTACTTTTTTTTGGAAGAAACCACAATTGAAAATAATCTATTTGGAAAAAGAAGGACTGGGAATAACTCCATCATTTTACCAGTGTGTCTCAATAAATGGAGGCCGGCAAACGGAAATAAATGGAGGCCGGCTCACGGAAATAAATGGAGGCCGGCACACGGAAATTAATGGAGGCCAGCTCACGAAAATAAATAAAGGCCGGCTCACGGAAATAAATGTAGGCCGGCTCTCGGAAATTAATGGAGGCCAGCTCACGGAAATAGATGGAAGCCGGTACACGGTCACGGAAATTAATGGAGGCCAGCTTACGGAAATAAATGGAGGCCGGCTCACGGAAATAAATGGAGGCCGGCTCACAGAAATTAATGGAGGCCGGCTCACGGAAATAAATGGAGGCCGACTCACGGAAATAAATGGAGGCCGGCTCACGGAAATAAATTTAGGCCGGCTCACGGAAATAAATTTAGGCCGGCTCGCGGAAAATTACAATTATAATTCTCTCTTATAAGTTCCGGCAGAAACACACCAAAAAAACTCTAGTTGTTAATAAAGATTAATAAGGATGTGTACCTTCAATTCCAACATTGGTTGTAATAACTACTGATTGGATTTTTTAATCAAAATTATCTAACTTTTACCACATTTTCAATCAAACTTTGGTCTATAATTCAACTATCTTTAAACTTAATCTTTAAACTTTAACTTGATATTAAGCTAACAGTCCCTTTAAACCCAAAGGTATGTGTTCCTCTTCGCGCTTCAAGGTTTATTTTAACGTACCTTTGTGAATTGTTTACAGTAATTTTTTAATAACTTTTATAAACTCGATCTTATAAGTCACAATATTATCATTAAATTATACTATACATATATATAAGTAAATGCAGCGCTGCACCGTTTACCGGGGCTGCTGATTACATTGTTCGGTTTGGTTTAATTATTAGTTAAAAGGTTTACAAAATCCAGGTTAGTTATTCTTTAACCACTGTGACGCACACAATATATGCTTGTATTTATATTACTGTGCAATGAGCAATGAGCAATGTGCATGGGTTCCAGATTTGTGCACCAACTATAAGATTAATAGATATGTTTTATTATTGTTTAAAACGGCTAAACCAGGGGGGGGGCAGAAGTCCTCAATTTGTAGTCACCGCCACCCAAACGTGTTTTGCGGCATGCATGCTCATCAATTTGTAATCACTGTAAAATCTTGTTTTCTGATATACTTACTCATTCTTTTCCCTGATACTTACTCATTCTTTTCCCTGATACTTACTCATTCTTTTCCCTGATAATTACTCATTCTTTTCCCTGATACTTACTCATTCTTTTCCCTGATACTTACTTATTCTTTTCCCTGATACTTACTAATTTTTTCCCCTGATACTTACTCATTCTTTTCCCTGATACTTACTCATTCTTTTCCCTAATACTCACTCATTCTTTTCCCTGATACTTACCCATTCTTTTCCTTGATACTTACTCATTCTTTTCCCTGATACTTACTCATTCTTTTCCCTGATACTAACTCTGTGAGCTGAACAAAAGGAATAATACTCGAAAGAGGGAAAGGCGAGTTGGCAAGGAAAACACTCTTTTCTACCAGACACAGATTGACGATAACTTCTTGAAAAAAGTATATTTCAGTAACGAGGTTTCCTACAAAAAAATACAAATTGTTATTGACGTACATGTATATAAATAATGATTGTTAATAAAGATTAAACAGTTGTGTGTAATTATAAATAAATGAGTATTGTTGTAAATCGAACAATTGGTTAAAAAATATGTACCACTGAGAATAGAACAAAGGCTTAAAGGTACTGTTGTGAATCGATAATAAATGGTTTAAAAGGTACTGTTGTGAATCGATAAATAAATGGTTTAAAAGNTTACTCATTCTTTTCCCTGATACTTACTCATTCTTTTCCCTGATACTTGCTCATTCTTTTCCCTGATACTTACTCATTCTTTCCCCTGATACTTACTCATTCTTTTCCCTGATACTTACTCATTCTTTTCCTTGATACTTACTTTTTCTTTTTCCTGATACTTACTCATTCTTTTCCTTGATACTTACTCATTCTTTCCCCTGATACTTACTCATTCTTTCCCTGATACTTACTCATTCTTTTCCCTGATACTTGCTCATTCTTTTCCCTGATACTTGCTCATTCTTTTCCCTAATACTTACTCATTCTTTTCCTTGATACTTACTCATTCTTTTTCCTGATACTTACTCATTCTTTCCCCTGATACTTACTCATTCTTTCCCCTGATACTTGCTCATTTTTCCCTGCCTCCGCTCATCCTCTGAACCTATTAATCGTACTTCTGTTGTAAAATTCCTTTTCCTGGTACCTCAACTTTATTATCTAATTATACCGAGGTATATGCATGCATATAAAATTCAATTTTTCAATTGTTATTTTAATATTTGACTGAACTTATTGTTAATTTGGTTTACTGCTGGTTGTAACTTATATAATCATTGTTGGGTTTAAATTTGTCTATTCTTTATAAAGTTCAAATCTTAGCACCAGAGTGTTCCAGAGGGGTAGACCTTAGCTAGCAGAGTGTTCCAGAGGGGTAGACCTTAGCTAGCAGAGTGTTCCAGAGGGGTAGACCTTAGCTAGCAGAGTGTTCCAGAGGGGTAGACCTTAGCTAGCAGAGTGTTCCAGAGGGGTAGACCTTAGCTAGCAGAGTGTTCCAGAGGGGTAGACCTTAGCTAGCAGAGTGTTCCAGAGGGGTAGACCTTAGCTAGCAGAGTGTTCCAGAGGGGTAGACCTTAGCTAGCAGAGTGTTCCAGAGGGGTAGACCTTAGCTAGCAGAGTGTTCCAGAGGGGTAGACCTTAGCTAGCAGAGTGTTCCAGAGGGGTAGACCTTAGCTAGCAGAGTGTTCCAGAGGGGTAGACCTTAGCTAGCAGAGTGTTCCAGAGGGGTAGACCTTAGCTAGCAGAGTGTTCCAGAGGGGTAGACCTTAGCTAGCAGAGTGTTCCAGAGGGGTAGACCTTAGCTAGCAGAGTGTTCCAGGTGTCTAAACCTTAGCTAGTAGAGTCTTCCAGGAGCTTAAACTTAGATAGCAGAGTGTTCCAGGAAATTAAACTTAGCTAGTAGAGTGTTCCACGAGATTAAACTTAGCTAGTAGAGTGTTTCAGGACACTAAACCTAAGCTAGTAGAGTGTTCAAGGGGTCTAAAATTTAGCTAGTAGAGTGTTCTAGCAGTTAACATAACAAACCCTAATTATTTCAATTTATATATATATCTTTAAATATATCTCTTGCATGATGTGGCTGTATTTTTGAAAATTGCAATTTCAATGCACTAAATTTACCATTTTGAAACGAAATAATTGCCAAAATACTTAAATACAGTGGCATGGAAGACCGAATGGTTGTTTCTTATGGCTGCCGGAAGGGAAGAATGTTGTGTCTTATGGCCGCCTGTCCCGCTGGTTAAAGGGGTTTAAACCCTAGCTAGCAGAGTGTTCCATGGGTCTATACCTTAGCTAGCAGAATGTTCCAGGGGTTTAAACCTTAGCTAGCAGAGTGTTACATGGGTCTATACCTTAGCTAGCAGAACGTTCCATGGGTCTATACCTTAGCTAGCAGAGTGTTCCAGGAGTCTTAACCTTAGCTAAAAGAGTGTTCCAGGGGTCTACTCCTTGGCTAGCAGAGTGTTCCAGGAGTCTATACCTTATCTATTTGAGTGTTCCAGGGGTCTAAACCTTATCTAGCAGAGTGTTCCAGGAGTTCAAACCTTAACTAACAGGGTATTCCAGGGGCCTAAACCTTAGCTGGCAGAGTATTCCAGGGGCCTAAACCTTAGCTAGATGAGTGTTCCAGGATTCATAACTTAGCTAGCAGAGTGTACCGGGGGTTTAAACCTGAGCTAAAAGAGTGTTCCAGGAGTTTAAACATTTCTAGCAGAGTGTTCCAAGGGACCTAAAACTTAGCTAGCAGAGTGTACCATGAGTTTAAACTTTAGTTGGCAGAGTGTTCTGGAAGTTAAAAGTTTATCTAGCAGAATGTTCCAGGAGTTTAAACCTTACCTTACAGAGTGCTCAGGGGGTCTAAACCTTAGCTAGCAGAGTATTCCCGGAGTCGAAACATACGATAGTAGAGTGTTCCATAAGTCTAAACCTTAGCTAGCAGAGTGTTCCATGAGTCTAAGTCTTAGCTAATAGAGTGTTCCAGGAGTTTAAACCTTAGCTAGCAGAGTGTTCCAGGAACTTCAAACTCAGCCGGCCGAGTGTTCCGTGAGTTTAAAGCTTAGCTAGTTTAGTGTTTGCTAAGGCTAGCAGAGTAGTCCAGGAGTCAGCACCTTAGCAAGCAGATTGTTTCAGGAGTTTAAACCTCAGCTAGCAGAGTGATTAAGGAGTTTAAACCCTAGCTAGCAGAGTGATTAAGGAGTTTAAATCTTAGTTAACAGAGTGAATCAGGAGTTGAAAACTTATTAAGGAGAGTGTTCACAGAGTCCACATTCCTCAACTTAGCTAGCAGAGTGATTAAGGAGTTTAAGTCTTAGTTAACAGAGTGAATCAGGAGTTTAAACCTTAACTACAAGGGTGTTCCAAGAGTTTATGCCATAGCATAGCCATTTGGCATGATAAAAGAGTAGCAAATGTTTCTATTCTAAACATTTTTGTCTTCAAGTATGAATTCTGACTCTGGTAGAAGATATATGCAATAAACGACCCAAAAAACGATCCAAAAACGATGCAAAAACGAACTTTTTTTTAGGATAAAATATTGAAAAGTTTAATAAAAGCAAATATTACAGTTTATAAAATAGTTTATAAAAAGATTTATTGAAAATTGTTTCAAAAACAATCCAAGCCGATTAACAATATATTTCTTAAGTGTTAAACCACACAAACAAAGTGCAGTTATTCAATCTTTAAATCAAGATTTTGCAGAACTATTTGGTGGTATTGCTGTTGCTGTTGTTGTTGTTGGAATTATGTTTTGAAAACCCTAAAAATATGCGCATTTGAAGAATTACCAAACGAAAAACACATGCAAAATAAACGATAAAATAATTGAATCATTGCCAAAAACCCTGATTTTCTAATCTTTATATCTTTGCTTCTTAAATTGGTAGACCTTAGATATTTCACACAAATATTTGGAAAACACTTGAAATTCCTTTTCTCAAACTGCCTCTGAAATTCATTTGCTCAAACTGCCACTGCAATTCATTTGCTCAAACTGCCACTGAAATTCATTTGCTCAAACTGCCACTGAAATTCATTTGCTCAAACTGCCACTGAAATTCATTTGCTCAAACTGCCACTGAAACTCATTTGCTCAAACTGCCACTGAAATTCAGTTGCAGCTATTCCAGTGTTAAAAGATATACTTCCATATGTCAATATTTCAGTTTAAATTTGATAATTAAACCATGATATAACTCCGTCAGATTAGTCCTAAAATGAATCAGATTTGTGAGAAAAGGTGCTTAAAAGGTTTAACACAATCATTACAATACTAATTATGTAACAATAGATAATAAATACAAGCACGTGCAGTAATGTATCTCCTCAAACCATTGAAAGACTTAAATAATATAAACGTCAGTTCTAAAATTTACAATCTACAATATTTGTGTTATTACCAACCAAAAATTATCTTTTCCTTCTTAGGGCACAATCTCACAAAACTCTTTTTTCTGATACTATTACTTTGTAAATAAAATGTCATTTTCATCGACATAGTAATGCTGATGAAATTTACCATGGCAGTCATTTTATAGTAAAATTGATTTCAAAGTAAAATATATTTGAGTAAAGACCCTGTAAAGGGACAAAGTCTTTAATTAATTTAATTATGTATTTTTAACGGAACTTTATCGTCATGTTTGACAGTAAATACTGTACATTTGTCATATGGGACCTGAGCTAATTATTTATCGTTTTTTTTCTCATTTTATTGTAAACCATCCAATGACAACCAATAATTCTCTCTTTTTATTATTTTCGCGGGATAGTTTTAGTATGTAAACTATTACTGCGATAGGAAAGCAAACAAATTATACTATGCAAAGTTTTAAAGTTTTAAAATCTACAAAACATTCACCCTGATACCGTAGACCTTTCCGATATTTTAATCTTTACAGGTCTGATTGCAAAGATATAGGATTAGAAAGTTAGAGCGCGACGAGAGTAATAAGTTTCTTTATGCGTAAGTCTTAATTCCAAAAAGTTATGAAAATTTTTGAAACTCAAAAATATTTCTATATCCGAAAAAAGAAAAATTTTTATAGTTGATAACCATCAGGTTCTCAGCTTTTAAATTTTCTTATTTCTAATTTCACCCTCAATACGCTACTAGAAGAAATGTGTCAAAAAACTCAAACTCGTTTTTTCAGATTGTTAAATTGTGTTAAAATGTTTAGCAACCACCATTATATTTTGTTCTAAACACTGAACACATTACGGTAAGATTTTTAGAATATAGGTTTGCAATACCTTGCACTACTTGCAAAAATACAAGAGAATCAATTAATATCAATGCATAATTATTGCAGCCGTTGTTAACACTAAAATGCGTTTAAAGTATTGAATGTCTAATTACTTCAGAATCTGACACTTTTAAATACAAACAATAGAAGATAAATTGTAGATAAAAAATAGCAAATCACATTTTGAAGAAAGACATGTAAAACTAAAAATCAGAATTAAATACTTTTCGAGTCAGAAAAACTGAAAACATTATCTTATTTTAACTTAATTATGTTTTGAACTGAAAACATTATCTTATTTTAACTTAATTATGTTTTGAACTGAAAACATTATCTTATTTTAACTTATGTTTTGAACTGATAACATTATCTTATTTTACCTTGTTTTTGGGCTGGCTTTAAATTAGAAATATTATTACAGAGTGGTGCAATATGAATTTAAAACGATCTCATGTTTTTTTCTTTCGTTTTAATTATTAATTGTGCCCAATATTACTAATTTTATGTGATTAGGTATCGTTCACTACCCTCATTAATAGTAAAGGCAAATACTACAGTGGTAGGCGTTTATATCATTACAATGAAGACGACTTTAAATTAAAGTTTTGATTTCTAAAAAGCTTTATTCTAATTAGAAGTTTACAAGTAAACAAAGATAAACTGTTAATTGACAGTTCCTCTTATTTTCCATATTTATGTGCATCCATACTATTTACCATGTTTATGTGCATCCATACTATTTACCATGTTTATGTGCATCCATACTATTTACCATGTTTATGTGCATCCATACTATTTAATTGTTTGACAGAAATCAGAATTGAAAACGAAAGTCCTCTTCATTGTATTGATATATACGGCGACCATTGTACTTTAGTTTCGCTTGTTATTAGAATTTATTTTCTAGGTGCTGTACAGTTGTACAGCTGTACAGTTGTACATAATGAAGACTCTTTTACACGTTTTCCTTCTCATACTCCCAGGAGCATATTCTTCTCTTGTTCCATTCAATACAGTTCCATCCTTACTTTCTCATAGGTTAGTTCCATTCAGTACAGTTCCATCCTTAGTTACTCATAGGTTAATTCCATTCAGTACAGTTCCATCCTTAGTTACTCATAGGTTAATTCCATTCAGTACAGTTCCATCCTTAGTTCCTCATAGGTTAGTTCCATTCAATACAGTTCCATCCTTAGTTCCTCATAGGTTAGGTCCATTTAGTACAGTTCCATCCTTAGTACCTCATTAGTTAGTTCCATTCAGTACAGTTTCATCCTTAGTTCCTCATAGGTTAGTTCCATTCAGTACAGTTCCACCTTTGTTCCACATAGGTTAGTTCCATTCAGTACATTTCCATCCTTAGTTCCTCATAGGTTAGTTCCATTCAGTACAGTTCCATCCTTAGTACCTCATTGGTTAATTCCATTCAGTACAGTTCCCTCCTTTGTTACTCATTGGTTAGTTCCATTCAGTACAGTTCCATCCTTAGTTCCTCATAGGTTAGTTCCATTCAGTACAGTTCCACCTTTGTTCCACATAGGTTAGTTTAATTCAATACATTTCCATCCTTAGTTCCTCATAGGTTAGTTCCATTCAGTACAGTTCCCTCCTTAGTTCCTCATAGGTTAGTTCCATTCAGTACAGTTCCATCCTTCGTTCCTCATAGGTTAGTTCCATTCAATATAGTTCCATCCTTAGTTCCCCATAGGTTAGTTTAATTCAATACATTTCCATCCTAAGTTCCTCATAGGTTAGTTCCATTCAGTACAGTTCCCTCCTTAGTTCCTCATAGGTTAGTTCCATTCAGTAGAGTTCCACCTTTGTTCCACATAGGTTAGTTTAATTCAATACATTTCAATCCTTAGTTCCTCATAGGTTAGTTTCATTCAGTACAGTTCCTCCTTTGTTCCTCATAGGTTAGTTCCATTCAATACAGTTTCATACTTAGTTCCTCATAGGTTAGTTCCATTCAGTACAGTTCCATCCTTAGTTCCTTATAGGTTAATTCCATTCAATACAGTTCCATCCTTAGTTCCTCATAGGTTAGTTCCATTCAGTACAGTTCCATCCTTAGTTCCTCATAATTTAAATATTTTATTTTGAATTTTGTAAAATTATGTGAATGGGAAAAACCGCAGCGTAAGAACTATAGATTTAAATACTGGTTTGAAAAAATAATTAAAAAATGACATGAAAATAGATATGAAAATGGATTTAAAAATGAAAGTATGAAAAAAGTTATGAAAAATTAATATAAATATATTTGTAATATTGAAAGGAAAATATATATTTAAACGAATAAAAAAAGTAAAAACGGAAATAAAAGATAAAACAATTTAATGATAATATTTCTAGTCGGGAGAAGAGACAGGGATTTAACAGAAAGGGTGTGGAGGAAGGATGTAAAACTACCGGATATGAAACCAGGTTCAGAGAATTATGCCAAGAGGTAAAACAGAAACTATAGAAACTTTAGAAACTAGAAACTAGAAACTAGAAACTAGAAACTAGAAACTAGAAACCAGAAACTATAGAAATTAGTAACTAGAAACTAGAAACTAGAAACTAGAAACTAGAAACTAGAAACTAGAGACTAGAAACCAGAAGCTATAGAAACTATAGAAACTAGAAACTAGAAACTAGAAACTAGAAAATAGAAACTAGAAACTAGAAACAAGAAACTAGAAACTAGAAACTAGAAACTAGAAACTAGAAACTAGAAACTAGAAACTAGAAACTAGAAACTAGAAACTAGAAACTAGAAACTATAGAAACTATAGAAACTAGAAACTAGAAACTAGAAACTAGAAACTAGAGAAAATATAGAAACTAGAAACTTGAAACTAGAAACTAGAAACTATAGAAACTAGAAACTAGAAACTAAAAACTAGAAACTAGAAACTAGAAACTAGAAACTAGAAACTAGAAACTAGAAACTAGAAATTAGAAACCAGAAACTATAGAAACTAGAAACTAGAAACTAGAAACTAGAAACTAGAAACTAGAAGCTAGAAACTAAAAAATAGAAAATAGAAACTAGAAACTAGAAATTAGAAACTAGAAACTCGAAACTAGAAACTAGAAACTATAGAAACTATAGATACGAAAACCTAAACACTAGAAACTAGAAACTAGAAACCAATAACTAGAAATTAGAAACTAGGAACTAGGAACTAGAAACTATAGAAACTATTGAAAATATAGAAGCAAGAAACTAGATATTAGAAACTAGAAACTAAAAACTAGAACCTAGAAACTAGAAACTAGAAACTAGAAACTAGAAACTAGGAAATAGAAACTAAAAACTAGAACCTAGGAACTAAAACCTAGAAACTAGAAACTAGAAACTAGAAACTAGAAACTAGAAACTAGAAACTAGAAACTAGAAACTAGAAACTAGAAACTAGAAACCAGAAACTATAGAAACTAGAAACTAGAAACTAGAAACCAGAAACTATAGAAACTAGAAACCAGAAACTATAGAAATTAGTAACTAGAAACTAGAAACTAGAAACAAGAAACTATAGAAATTAGTAACTAGAAACTAGAAACTAGAAAAAAGAAACTATAGAAATTAGTAACTAGAAACTAGAAACCAGAAACAAGAAACTATAGAAATTAGTAACTAGAAACTAGAAACTAGAAACCAGAAACTATAGAAACTATAGAAACTTGAAACTAGAAACTAGAAACTAGAAACTAGAAGTTAGAAAATGGAAACTAGAAACCAGAAAGTATAGAAACCAGAAACTATAGTAACCAGAAACTATAGAAACTAGAAACTAGAAACCAGAAACTATAGAAACTATAGAAACCAGAAACTAGAGACTAGAAACTAGAAACTAGAAACTAGAAACTAGGAATTAGAAACTAGAAACTAGAAACTAGAAACTAGGACTAGAAACTAGAAACCAGAAACTATAAAAACTATAAAAAGTAGAAAATAGAAACTAGAAACTAGAAACTAGAAACTAGAAACTAGAAACTAGAAACTAGAAACTAGAAACTAGAAACTATAAAAACTATAGAAAATGTAGAAACTAGAAACTATAGAAATTATAGAAACTGTAGAAATTAGAATTTACATTAGTTACCCTTTACAGTTAGATTACATATTTATAACTTAATTGAATTCCTTCTGTTTTAAATGCATTTTGATTTCTGACTTACAAGATCCGCCTGCTTTACGGGGATAAGAGAGGAATATTTTCCCAAATGCATTTTCCCAAGGGCGACTTATCAAATGACAATGTCCCACGTGGTAACTTCCCAAATGTTCAATTTACCAAGCACCAATTTTCTAAAGGTTAGGTTAGACTATCTGAGGCGCCGCAGGCCCAAACCACCTTGTTATACTTCTCTTATGACGTATATACTCTGCTTTGAAGCAGAATATAATCTCTCAAACAGGAAGGAAAAGTCTAGTCCTATGGCAGCGAGGTCATTTCCATCCAGAGTTCCTTATATAGGAATGATAAATGTTTCAAAGCAGAGTAAATGCGGCATGAAAAAAGTATAACAAGAAGGTTTGGGCTCAACTTCCTATATTAGAGGGAGAAATCAATCTAAACTTCCTTTTTAAAGTTTTTAAAGGGAGTGTTCGCGAAAAATGACAGGGGGTATAGACTTAATGCGATAAAAAATCGCTATTGATCGCTACTAATTTTACTTCTATAATCGGTTGCGTCTATAAGGAGAAAATTGTTAAAGACGTCTAATACCGAAGATCATATAGCACCCATACAAATTGAGGAAGTTGGAACATACGACTTGGAGCGTAAAATAATCAAATTAATATGAAACAAATCATTCAGATATTACAACCTATAGTCATCGATTATCTTTCGCCAATTTATATATAGTTGATTTTTCATAATATGGTTTAATTGTTATGATCTGAGAGTTACTTATAAAAACATTTATTCCTGTTTCGAGGATTTTTGGTAATGAAGACGACATTTTCATATTTTCCAGGAATGTTCGAAAACAAGTTGTAAGCTAATTATTATTTAAAAAAAACAAAATCAAAACTAGGATGAAATATCAAATATATACAAATGTGGCAAAAGATAATATATTACTATAGGTTGTAATATATGAATGATTTGTTTGAAATTAAATTGATTTTTTTACGGTCTAAGTCGTATGTTGCAATTTTCTAAATTTGTATGGACGCCATGTTATTCGGTATGAGACGTCTTTAACAATTTTCTTCTTATAGATGCAACAGATAGACGTAAAATTAGTAGCGATCAAAAGCGATTTTTTATCGCATTGAGCCTTTCATTTTTCGCGAACACTCCCTTTAAATCAAGAGTCCTGACGAGGCATTCTAGTTTTGGGACGATGAAAATACAGTGTTGAAAACAAAAACAAAAAAGTGTATGAGTTCTTTTAAATTCATGGGGAGCAAATATTTTTGAATTTTCGCAAAAATTTTAAGATTTTGAATTTTTGTATTATATGAATAATATAATATAATTAAAACAGTAAAATGAATGAATTTTTATTTTTATTTTATTTTTATAAAAACAATTTATTTTTATTTTTATCATTCTTAAAATTTATTTGACTTTTACATGTTTATTTTTAGGTGTGATACAAGATTGATGCAGCAGTGTAATTCTACAACCAGAGCAGTGCCTAGGAATATATTCAACATTTTAATAAATATCTTTTTATTTCTTCTTCATATTCCATCCAACTTTTATTGAAAATAATCAACTTAATTAAGAATATCATGTATTTTTCTGAGTTATGCATAGCATTTAATCCTATACTAATAGGGCCTTGGGGGGGGGGGGATTAATTTGACCCCCCTTGTGATTTTACCAAGCTTAAAAAGAAATTGTTTTAAATCGTTTTTTTAATGACATCATACACTTCGCTAAGGCCAAAAACTGGACTTTTCCTCTAACTTCCAGATCTATTATGCAAGGTGCAATTTAAATGGCATTTCTTATGCAATCTAGATTTACGCATGAAACAATAATAAAAGAAAAAAAAATTCCTTTTTAAATTTAATTCATTGTAATATTTATCAAGATTAAAAATAAATATTTGTAAAAGATCAGCTAGATATTTTTATAAATAATATATATATGAATATGTTATTAACTAGGGAGGTCTGCATTCCGAAAAACACCACACGATGCCAAGTCGATATCAAGTAAGAAAAGTGTCAAAAACTTAGAAATCAATATTTCTTTAATTCTTCTTTTAATTTGCCCTAAATTTTATATTATTAGCCTAACAGGACATTTAAGTGTAAAACATTTTGACCTCTTTCTGAGCAGATTTTGTTTGCATCTTCTGTTTTATTGACCTTATCTCCTGTTTTACCTGATTGGCCTGTGAAGACCTTTGTTGACCACTGTTGTCCGTGTTGACCTAGTTTTTTTTTCTATAAAATTGGGACCTGAATCATGCCCTGAGTGTTGAAAAGGGTCTTGAGCTGTCTAGATAACAATGATCTTTTAGAGTCAAATAAGTCAAAGTGTAGGAAAAAGTACTTTAATTGTTCAAAAGGCTTTCCGGCCGCTTCGCGCCCATCTTCAATTTAAATCATTATTATCTTTGTACATTATAAAACAATAACAAAAAATCACCGATTTAATAATATTTTTTTCATGAATGTTCAAAGTTTTACAATAATCGAAATATTTTGTAATTTTGAGCTTCCAGAAACCTTCTCTGAGGCCAGATCGGTTCGGCAGTTTTGACGTTTATTTGATACAAACAGACAAAAAAAAACATTAGGTATATATAAGGGTTTCCAAATTTGCTTCGAAACTGTCGCGAAATTCGTGAACATTTTTGTTCGTTCCTTCAAAATCTATTTTTCTCGCAAAAATATAATTTTCTTGATACGAAATGGAAAAATTTTGATTTTTATCGAACGAAAATTGAACGAAAATTTCGCGATAATGAAAAACTTTGCAAAAAAAAGGCCGAGCATTTCGTCGAAAATGCATAAAATTCTGGAAAATTTTGAATGAATTTCGTTCGTTCATTTTCGCGAATTTCGTTCAATGATAATTTAGATGCAATTTATATTTTAAGAAAATTATATTTTAAACTTTAACATTCTTGCTTAATTCATACCTCATTCACGGGCAGCTGTAGTACATTTGAATTTCCGAGCCGGGTCAATCTTTCCGGTCCCAGTTTGTACTGTACCTAGCTCTATGGACAGGACTAGCCGGTGCAACAAGGTTGACGTGGTCAGACTTCATGCTTCATATAGAATTTACTTTTACTAGAGGGGCAGATTTACTGCATTATAGATAAAGAATTAGGATAATTATTTTTCCCATGATGTTTTATTCAGGGGGTTGTTCGCTCAATTGTGGAAAATAATGAATATTTTGATTTTTGTATTAAAAACGAGAAGGGTAATTTTGTATTTTGTAATTTTGTCAACAAAGGGAAAAGCTGAAAAGCCTATACTTTTCTAACTTTAAATTAATAAATGAATAAAAACATTTTATTTAAGATATATGTTTATAAATACCTCTTGTATAGAATTCCCGGAATACGAATTTAAAGAATATGAGCCGCGGCTCAAACATAGTTGGTTCCACTAGAACTTGTATTCAGTTTTTCGAGATTTGAGCTGGCGCTCAATGGAACCGGTTTATGGGGGTTCAGCAATTCAGCGATGTGGTTTAAATTCTTTAAATTCGGCCTCGAGTATATATCAAGTCCCCTGCCTAGGTTGAGTGAGGATACTATTCTCCGCGATGAATGTCATAATCTGGTTCAACATGTGTGTGAAGAGCATTATTCAGGGACAGAAAATAAACTTAACATTCATTTATTAAAATTTCTTATCATTATCATTTTATCAGTGAATACATCGGGGGTTTAATTTTTCATTGATTCTAACTTTTCTGTAATAAACTGCACATTTTATAGATGTATGGAATTGTTTCAAAGAGAGGATCGTTTACAAAGACGACATTTATTTGAATATTTAATAATTCATTTAAATTTACATATAAAACAAAGAATGAGTCAAATTGCATGAGATTACAAGTGAGAACTCAAGGAGCTTTTCTTAGTATCAGCCTCTAGTTGATTCATCAAGTTCGGTTTTAGATATTATATTTTACTTTATTTCCTTTTCCTTTAGTTCCTGTCCCTGTTCCTGTTCCTGTTCCAACTCCTGTTCATGTAAGATGCGTTTTATTACACTAAATAGAAATAATGCAATTGTCACCTTTTAGTTGTTCAGAGCTGAAAACATTGGATACCCTTAATCCTGATCACTTAATCTGAATATTTATTTTGGAAACTTTTAAGTTTCTTTTTAATCCGCTCTTCCTGGATATAACATTCCCTACTACACGTAATAAAGATCCGCTTGATTTCAAATACAGATACGATGCTATATCGATTGGACGATGCTATATCGATTGGACTAAAGTCAGCTGTTCACAAGCCGGCTTTTATAGCATTTGATTAAATATAAATTCAACCTATTAATATATGAACTTATAAAAAATCTTATTTTATCACATTTGAGGACTATAGTCCTTTTGAACAATAGTCTAAATAAACATTAATCCAAAACTTATGTTCGTTCAATTGATTATTAGTCCTATTGACATGACACCGCAAATGTGGGAAAATTAAAAACCAGGTTTTTAAAAGTTAAAGAGCGCATCTCTAATATTCATCAAGAGACTAAATTAGTTTCGATATTAAGAAAAAGAGAGGATCACGCATTCATCTCGATATCCACCATTCTAAAGTTTTCAGCTCAGGACACATTTTTTGTAATAATCACTTACACATTTCGAAATTTTATAATAATAAGATCGAATAGGTTGAAAAGAATTCCATGTTTTTATTTGGTTACAACTGATATAATAAATATACAGCGAAGAAAAGAATAGATATTTATCTGACTCTGAATTAAATCCAGACCAAGAATATATTTCAAGAGGTACACATTTATTACACACAATAAAAATATAGAATGTAATCAAGTAATTAATTATTTCTTTAGATGCTGTTAAGGAAAACATGTGTTCTGCTAAACCATAATAATAATATAAAATAATAAAATTCCTTTGCAATTTTTGCACAAACCTTTTTACTTTTTGTTGTTTTAACATAAAAAAGTATGAAAATCTATAGAACCTGTTATTAGGTGCTTAAAAGAGGAAAAAAAGCAACCCCAACCCCTGCACCCCACAGCGGATATGCTTCCCCCACCCCTGCAACTCATGGCGGATATGCTTCCCCAACCCCTGCAAATCACGGCGGATATGCTTCCCCAACTCCATCACCTCAAGTAAGGGCACCTGCTGTAGTCGTCTCTGCTCTACCACGCAGGAGATTCAAACGACAGCGACAAGGTAATTTTTGGTAATATATATATATATATATATATATATATATATATATATATATATATATATAATATTAACTTAAAAATTCAATGATTATGAATGTTTGCCTTTTCTCGTCTACACTGGAACCTATCAAACTGTGGAATACGAAGACGACTTAAGTTATTATTTGAAAAAGTGCAATTAACATTAAAAAAAAAAACAATTATGCAGTTATACCAAGGTTGTGTACAACCTTCAGGTAAACACACCCATTTTACTTAAACTGAAGCTATTTAATTTTTAACAACATAAACATACATTTAAGATTTTAAATCTTACTTTTTCATAGTTTTTTTTGGGTCTCATTTACATATATGTAATATATGGTTTGATTGGCATTCGCGAATCGGAAAACTTGAGTTTTGTTATTATAATTGTAGCAAGCACTACACTAAACATAATCAATGGTTACATTTTCTCTGTAGTTCTTTTTTACAGTTTTAGGAAGCTCTATCTCAGCTTCTGACCAGAACGCTGACCTAATTCGACAGCTTGTTGTGCAGCTGCTTCGACAGAGAACTGGACAAACCGGTTTAAACCAGCAAACACCTCAGCCTCAGTTTAATCAGCTGTCACAGCAAACCAGTTTTAACCAGTTTGACCTTCAGACCCCTCAAGGACCTCCAGGTGTGCTTTAATTCAATTTTTACAGTGAACAACAGTTGTAAAATTTATAAAGTTTTTGTTTTCAAATTTTAAAATGTTGTCTCAAAGTAGGCTACTCCAGGTATGCTAACCCCAGGTGGGCTGATTACAACTGGTTTAGAGGAAGGCCGGCTGGGTAAAGCACTGGAACAGCTATCTGAACTGCAGGAGGAACCGGTTTCTCCTGCCCAGCAGGCACAGATTCTAGTTGACCAACTTCGCCAGCTAGGTATTATTGAATATAATAATATAATAATAGGTAAGTATCATTGAATTGAATATAAAGACAATTAAGGCAATGGAGTAATTATTTATATTTTTTTCTTACATTGATGGTTTTCTGCAGAAGCTTTGAACTGTTTTATTTCTTTTCTTTACCGAACCAAAGGCCGCTTATCTCCAATTATCTCCAATTTCAAAGTTGTTACAGTGAGAACCAGAAAACTCCAGAATAGTAGTAAGACGACTGTTAGACTCAATTTATGAATTTAAATATTCCCATGAACATGTATCATTTCACTAAATAGGTGATTTTATAAATTACTCGCAATTTTTTTGCTTCATAAAAAAATCGAATAATTTTATAATTATAATTTTAATGTCACATGATTTATGGTTCTTGATCTGTTTCTTGACTTTTCCCTTTTATCCACAAAATAAATCCTAGACTTAATCCTGTTTTTTATCCTTTCCTTTAACAGTTGGTAGCCAGACCCAAGCCCCTATCCTTCCGCCAATCCCAGATTCTCCGCCTCCTCCGCCTCCTCATTCTATCCACCAGGCGGAGCTGCCTGCCCCCCCTGGCTGCAGATCTGTTATAACGCAGCATTGTGTAAAGGTATTCTAATTTAAATCCAAAGAAAGACTTTTAACGACTTTTAAATTCAAGCTAAGACTTTGAGTAGTCCAATAAACACGAGACAGAGCAAATGTGCAACTGTAAATAGACCCATTCACTTAATAATTGATTTCATAAGTTACTAGTAAAACTATTTGCTTTGTAACAGCATACACTTAAGTAAAAACCCTGCAAACATTTAGTCTCCGACAAACCGATGGCGAACATATAAAGTCCAGATTTATTTACCCGAAAACTTCGCTATCGGCACATAAAGTCGGTAAAAATGTTTCCTGGGTTGAGATAATGTCGTCTTTCTATTCCACAGTTGTCTGGTCATCACTGTAGGAAATTGACATTTTAACCTTCTATAAGGCAATTTTTTTAGGATTTCAAATTGTTCAGCTTTCTCTCTCTCTATAATCTATATATTTATAAAATAGGGAAGACGACATTGCACAATGAAGCAAGACGATCTTTGAAATAATTGATATTTAAGATTATACAATATGTGTTATTATAAGATAAGAAAATATGCAGCCCTACTGCGTCATTTATTGGACGCATTTATATATTGAAAACTGCGCCTTTAAATTACGTGAGTAGATGTTTAATATTTATAGCATATGCGTGTAAAGAATGCGTTTTCTGTCTTACGGATTTACAACTTTCTAAACGCATGAATTTTGAAGAACACCGTAAAAATCTTTCATTGGTATCAAATGAATCCTAAAATTTCCTCTACAATACTGCACTTTCAGCTCAACTACCATGTCTAGCCGGTCTCTCCCTTTAAGCTTTAAATAATCAGAGAGCTTTTGAATTTGATATTTTCAAGGTTCCTGAGAAGATAACTCTAAAAGTTCCCGAGGAAACTTGTAAGGTATTTATAATACTAGCTGGGTTCCCTAAAAAAATGTCAACAATTTGGTCCTGTCGTTTGACCAGCTATAGTCAACATTTATATACATATACTTTAATAATCTATCTTAATAAACATTAAAAAAATTTATTTTAAGAATATTTATACAATTTTTTTAAATTTTGATCATCTTGATCAGCTGGCTAAACTTTTTTGAGGGACCCATGGCTAAAACAAATTCTTCAAAAAATTTTTTTTTTTACAATTCTCTTTTTTTAATTCCACGGGAAACGCCGGGCACTCTAGTTAGTTTATAATAAACATGGTTCACGGAAGTTATTGTTTGATGAAATGGTTCAAACTCTTGTGTTGGGCCTCTCGAAGACATTTTTGGACATCATGATTATTTGACGTCTTACGATGTGAAAATAGCTTCAATTAATGAATATTATGAATGATCTCAAATTAAACAGCAAACAAAAACGTCGGAACTGTTCTAATCTTTATGTAATCTTTTTTATTTGTTTAAGAAACTTGAAAACACATTCCTGTGTCGGGCCTTTTCATGATAAAAATTTAAGATTGTGCATATAGGTCGATTAAAAGAACAATATTAATGCTGCAGTATTTCTGCAAATATTTATCTTGAAAGAACAAAAATGTCATAGCATATTCTTACAAACCAGAGACTATAAGTTTTTGATAATGACGTGCTGAAGTTGATTATTAAAATAAGATTATCGTAAATAGGTGGCTGAACCTACCTACCACTGGTTCAAATTCTGAAACATCGATTCAAATCCTTATGAATTTTTTTATTTTAAATTTTTTGATTTAGGATTTGAATCGACCGTAGGTAGTTCAGCTACTTCTCAATTTCATAAAATTCCGTCCCAGGTTTTCTAGCGTACAATACAATATCTTTAATGTACTTATTTGATAAATTATTTAATTAAATAATAATATCATTATTACTATCATTATTATTTTTTTTATTCCCCAGGAACCCTTATGTGACACTGTTCCAATAGAGGAGTGTATGGATTTTTTAAAGGTTTGTTTATTTCAAATTTGAACAAAAAAATATTTTCAAAAAAACGACATTATACTAATTTTATTAAAAATGACATTACTAATTTTATTAAATAATAAAAGTTTAACATTTAAGGCACAATTTATTCTTTAGATAAGTTAACTAATGAATTAAATATCTTCATAGGTTTAGAATAGAATAATTCATAAGAACCATAGTAGGATTAATTAGATGCTTTTAAAGATAATCTATAAATATAACGTTGTATTTCTGTCCGTCTGTCTGTTTCATTATCTGATTCAAATATTGATCGGTAATGTTCTTAGCTTGGTCGACTTTAATAGCGAAAATTTAGTTTCCCGGTAAAATCGTTTAAGTGCGGGTAAACGGTGGGAGTAACTTTTTGTATCTGTTCTGCAGGAGGGTTATAAAACAGATAATGTAATTAGATAAATTATGTAATATAATGTTCATCAAGTATATATTTAATAATTATATTCTATCATTGTAGTATCCATTATTTATAAGATTAAATTAATTTTCATCTTTAAAATTATAAAAGATAAAATTGTACAGGAAATCCCTTTCCTCGTAGCAGAGGAGGAATGCAAGGATGTTGTGAGATTAGAATGTGCCGAGGTAACATAGACGACATTTAAAACTGATAATATATGAAGACGACATTTAAAACTGGTGATATATAAAGATGACATTTCAAATTACAATTTATACAGACGATATTTAAAAAGACGATAGGTAAAAATGAAATTTAAAAATTATGAGATATAAAGACGATATTTACAGTGAGCATGATGTAAAGACGACTAAACTGTTATGAAACAAAACGAACTTAATTTTTAAGGAAAATTTGCAACATATTAACAATTAATATTTTTTTCAATATTTTTTATATTTTTTAAATTTAAAGTTAAATCTTAAAAGCAAATATTTTAGGTTGAAGAATCTGTTCCAATTCAAGTTTGTACAAGTATTGATATAAACAGAGATGTGATCATTAGCTCCTACGGAGAGTAAGTTTTTAAAAACTTTAAAAACTGGGTTTTTTTTCGCAATGAAGGGTTTAAGAATTTTTTGATCTTTAATGAAACTGAAATTATTTAGATTATTTGAAATTTTGATAATATAAAGAATTTTCCGTGAATGTTAAAAGGTATCTATACTTTTGTTTTAAAACCAAAGAAAATAGATTGTATATAGAGTGGAATTTACTCGATAAAAGTATAAAACGGCCATTTTGTTTTACTGTTCCCATACTGCAGGTGTACTTAACACATTATGTATTAGTGTGATGTACTGTGTATAATTTGTGAACATTCACATGAATTGTACACTTTGAACTACCTTTCAGGCTAGAAGGGACTGACATAATTCATACCGAGGGATTGTTTAAATTTCTTTCTATTCATATTCTCTGTTCTGTGTTTAGAACCTACTCTGTAAACGGAAACAGACCTTTGAAAAGTACATCTGAGGTTGTTGCAAAAATACCAATTGTTTCAGGGTAAGTTTATATGACTTGGAATCAAGCTAGGGATTATTATTAAATTAAAAAAAACTGTATGCTTTATAAGTTTATTTACAATATTCTTATTCTGGAAAAAGAAAACTTATTTAATTCAAAGAATTAAAAAAGCTCAGATCGGATTTTCAACATAGTTTCATTTTACCCTTCACATATACAACCTATTTGTTTAAAGGCAACTTGAAACTACGTTAAAAATATAATTTTAAATAATATTTAAATCTTAAATTTATATAAAGCTTCTAAAAAATACAGGCTACAGTTTTCTACTAATCATTAATATAGATTGACCTGAGGCCGAATTCAAAGAATTTGAGACGCAGCTCAAATATGGTTGGTTCCACTTAAAGTTGTATTCAATGTTCCAAGATTTAAGCCGGGGCTCAATTGAAATTGGTTTTGGGCGGATTTGAGACGCGGCTCAAATTCATTAAACTCGGACTCTGAATAACAATTCTTTGAGCTAAAATATATAATATTTATTTATAAATATTTTATGTATATTTATTTATTATTAAATTATTTATTAAAAAATATTTATTTTGTAATTAAAATAAAACCGACTAAGATATGCTTTGGTTGGGAGTCTTTGCTTGAACTAAAGTTTAATATATTATGCAACATATATATTAGGTTATAGCTTTCCTCAAAATAAGATTTTGAACAAAATAATCTATTATAACTTTAAATATCCTTTTTCCAGTATGTCTGAAAAATAAATTAAATTGAATATCTAAAACTATGAACGAATATTGTTTAAACTTGAATCAAAGATAAGATATTTTCGTCATTGATTTGAACAGAAATTCTGTCATTGTTTTTTTCTTTTAAACTTTTTCCCATAACTGACTTATTATTTTCAGTTATAGTTCGCTCACAAGTGAGTCACAAATAACTAATTTTTTACAACTAATTAAGTCTTTTTTCGTGGAATTAATTAAAGACAGTTCTTCAATACACTTAATTGACTTGATTTTCTTGGTTTTCGTTTTTATTAAATGATGTTTAGTTTTTGATTTTTATATAAAAATTTAAAATAAATCTATGCCTTAATATAATGATTGATCATATTTGCATGAAATTAATTAATCTACTAATCAATGAATGGATGAATTCTGTTTTATAGAAAATATAAATTGACTATTATTAATTCCAGGGTGGATGGTTCTGAAAGACTGAGGTATACATATAACAGATATTTTCAATATTATTTTAGAAATTATATTGAAAATTATACCACTCGAAAATTTAATTTATTTTTATCCCTAAACAAAATCATACAACATATATATTATAATATATCATAAATTATATTTACGCTTACAGATTTGTCAACAGTATTGCGTACTTTCAATTAAAGTTGTTTATCAACCAAATTTATTCAAATTATATTTTAAAAAGATATACAGTGATTGCTTAAAAAAATATGAATAATAATTTTAATTGATTTAACTTTAGTAAATTTGCATGCACTTAATGCTTATTGCTTAATATTAGGGTTTCCAGTGAACAAAAACTTATGTCATCCCCAAGATTCCTCACTAAAATTCAGTCCAATTGATTCAGCCGTTTGTCCAGCCATAGCAAACACATATGAACTAAGAGCTTTATTATATAGTTTACAATTGTACTCCTACTTTTTTTTTCATAACAGAAATTTCATAATTATTTTCTGGACCTTTGTTCTTTTTTCATCTCATAGAATTTAAGTTTAAGTTGAGTTTTTCATTTCCAAAATTGTCTTTTACTATCTCTAGTTTAAATACTAATTATTATACGAACATCAACAGTATAATAAAATGTCGATTTTTTAGAAACAAAGCTTTTTTCGTACTTTTATGTGTATCTTTGAAGTATATTATACTTAATCCTAATATCAAAGAAGCCAAATGTTTTGAATGTATATAGAGTGGAATTTACTCGATAAAAGTATAAATTCAATATAAATGGTGTTAGATACTTTCCCAAAGGCAATTTCCCAAGGGCGACTTCCCAAGTGACAATTTCCCAAGCGGCAACCTCTCAAAGGTTAGGTTAGGCGCTCTGAGGCGCAATGGGGCCGAGTACTGTGTCTAGGATAGACATAGGAATTTGCCGCTTTGGAAATTGTACATTTGGAATATTGCCACTTGGGAAAAATCCTTTGGGAAAGTATCTAACATGATAAAAATAACATGTTTGGTTTCTAGTTCAAAACTACGATCTGGTCGGGCACAAAAGCTAGATGATTCAAATAACAGGAACATAATCACACTTTTTATTATGTTTTTTTTATAATTGTGTATTTTATTAAAGCCGGGTCCTCAGTTGACGCTTTTCAAATGACACATTATTTCAAGGTTATAATGCAAGGAAAGTTATTTTAGAGGTGTACGCATCTTTTGTACTGCAGTGTACTGTCTCTGGGCGGTAATGTAAACACAAGACGGATGACACAGCCTGACATAGTATCAATCTTTCACATAAAAAATCAATGAAATATTCTGGTCATACGAAACTGTTGTGTGAATTATCAAAACTATCAAAATTCAATGGTTTTGTCCTCCTCGGATACTAGAGGAACACTGATGCATCTATTCTTGTTTACAAATTCCTTCCAGAGAGAACTGGTTTCAATACGTACTCAGAGTATACGCAACGGCAATTAACTTTCCTTACATTAGAACATTGATTATTTTAACAGCAGCATTTCCAACGGCACCTTGGAATACTGAATACATGACAAAGAATGAGAGAGAAATCCTTTTCTTCTTATCTGAAAAATTGTTCATTTCTAATTCTGGTTTCTCTGCAAAAGTGACTCGAGGATATATGCTACAGAGACATCGAATTAAATTGTCAGAATTTAACATTTCAATTAATAAATATTTTTAGCTCAAAAATAGGTAAAAGTTTAAGTGTGATTCTGGGTTTTAATCAGTGAGAGCGAAGACGACAGCCTTGACGATTCTTCTGAGCGTGAACGCGGCAGTGGGAGCAGGCAGCGAAAAAATTTGTCGGAGAGAAGATTAAAAAACTTTCTTTCTAAACTTCTTGACGAAGACAGTCAAAACTAGAATAAACCCGACTACAATTCAAGATTTTGCAATTTAACTGAAATCCACAAATTGCTGCCAAAATACCATATTAAATATATCATAAACAAGAAAATGATATATAAAATGTTGCATTGAACAGTTATATGAAAGAATGCATCAAGATATTAAACTATACTTTTGTGAATGGCTGATGCTTTGGTGACAGGTGTGTGTCATGTTACTTATATCCTTTTAATCAAATTGAATGATAAAACCATATAGTTATATACTGGCCCAAAAAAAACGGATTCAAATCTGTTTTAAAAGCAGGAGTGTTGTAGCATGCATGCAGATTTGAATTTATTTTTTTTGCCGAATATTCGAAAATCTCTCTGTTAACTTTGAACAATTAATAATCCTTAAAATTTTCATAGAAATGGATATTGCAGAATGTTTTTATTTAAGTAATAAATACATGATTTGATTCCAGTAGTCCATATTTTTAATTGTTTCTCTAAATGACACCCATTTACTGCCATGCTAAATTCTTTATTTATTTCTCAAGTTTCTCCCCATAGAAAAAAATCTTTGTGTTTAAGATCTTTGGTTGTCTCCTTAACAACCTGGGCATGCAGGATCGATATTTTCGAATATTCGACATAGTTTTACACCGATTGGAAGCATCAAACGAAAAAAAATACTTAAAGGGCCCCTCTAAAATTAAAAAAAAAATTCCAAAGCTCACATTTTTGTGTCTTTTAAAACGATTTAAAATGCTAAAAAAACTAATCCCGTTTTTTGGGGCCACCCTGAATTTTTTATTATTGTATACTTTTTGTACAATGAAGTGAAATGTTTTTGTTATCAAAGTATTTATTTTAATCACTAAATATTTATTTTTTAGGATAAATAAAATAGTAAAATAAAATTTTATCATTATTTAAATTTAAACTTTTTTATTTTTTTGGACAAGACTTCTTTTTATATGCACCTTTTTTGAATTAAGGCTTCTTTGTTTGTATGATAAAACAAATCCCTTTTTCTGCACGTGTTAACAATTAAAAATTTCTACGGTACCGGAAGTTGACATTTTGTATAATTACGGAAAACGCCCAACGGAAAGCCTGAATATATAGGATATGTGAATAAGTTGATTTTAACCTTACTAAAAATAACATAAATTTTACAGGGTGTCTCAAAAACAAACAATTGAACTCGATTAATGTTTGTAAAAAAACAAACATTTATTGACATTTGACTTGTGAGCTTTTGAGTTTGTTCCTTAATTGTTGATTTATGGATCAACTACAGAAATCAACATTTTTTTAATAATACACTCTTTTATGCGTATTTTCCTATTGTTAAAATGTAGAAAGTACCTTTCTTAACAATTTTTATCAAAAAAAGAATTTAGAAAGAAGAAAAATCATAAAAATGATTTTTTCATAAATAAAATTGCGGATTTTCTTGATTTAATTTCGCACATTTTCTCCGAAACTACTCATCTGATTTAGGATTTAAGTTGCGATAGAAAATATGTATTCCCGCACTTTTGTTTTTCTACTCATCTAATTTTGAGTAAAAAATATTTTTTAAATGATCAGATTTTCAAAAAAAATCAAAAATTTTATACATATTTGTCTAAAATGAGATTAACAAATTTTTTTTTTTCCCTTGTTCTCGCTATTCAACCATTTTGTTTATGAAAAAATATTATTTGTGGGCCTAATACAAGATTAAAGAACGTTTGAATTTTCCCATTCATGATTTTCCTGAACTGAAGTTTAGATAAACAACTTTATCTTTATAACTGGCCCCACAGTTTGTGTTTTGAGTAGAATCTAATTCCGTCATTCATGTTTCCGTCATTTATTCATTATCAAATTCCGTCATTTAATTGCGTCATTTAAAATTCTCTTTGCACTGCACTGCTTCAACAAATATTGACGAAAACAAGAATACCAATAGTTAGGAAAATTGAAGTGAAAAAAATTAAATAAAAACATAATCAAAAAGGTGGACTTATTTTTAAACGCTACGAAAGATAAATTGACTATAAAGTGACCCTCTCCATTAAAAGAAAACAAGGAATGTCTGATTCTGAATAGCATGCACCCTTTGAGTTTGAACTTCTATATCATGCACTTTCCTGAACAGAAGAAGGTTAAATGCATACGACAAAACTGGGACCTATATAAGCTTCATATATAATTGCTTCTTTTTTAGATTTTTAATTGGTTACATTCTAGAAATTCAAAACATTCTCTTCTTAGGAAGGTTTATGAATTTCAAAAAGTTATCTCAAAATAATTTAGATTTTTGTAATGTTTAAAAAATCCACAAAAAAAGTATCTTCAATTATCTGTGAACTTTTTTTTGTTTGTTTTATATCGTACAAATATAAGAGGCTTGAAATTAAAATAGACGATGGGCGCGAAGCGCCCTAAAAGCCTGTGGTAATAAAAAAATATTTTGATTACATCAAGTAAAAATATCTTTATATTTATTTTTTCATGCTTAAAAAATCAGGTTTCTAAAATTTGAGAAAATATTTACATAAAGTTTTCTAAAAGAAAAAATTTGAAGTAAAATTCTAAAAAAATTAATAAATTTTACTTGAGAAATGTCTTCATCGAGTTTGTAATTTGCAATTGTTGCAATTGATATATCGCTAAACTTTCCCAGGGAAATGTTTTAGACATAGTTTAGTTGCAAATTAGAAAATCTTGTGCGGCAAATCATTAAAAATTAAAGACGAGTAGAATTATATTGTTTTCTGGTTTTCACTGTATAGGGGTTATATTCTCTCATAGATCTCACAGGGCTCATTCAACTGTTATTCTCTCCATTACTTTCATTTCAACCATGCCAGGGCATTTTTTTCTCTTTCTGATGAAGACGGATTAGTAACCAGAGGCCGAATTTAAAGAATTTGAGCCGCGGCTTCAATTTAAGTCGCGGCTCAAATATGGTTGGTTTCACTTAAAATCGTGTTCATTGCTTCAAGAGTTAAGCCGGCGCTCAATTGAAACCGGTTTTTGGAGGATTTAAGACGCGGCACAAATTCATTAAATTCGGACACAGAAGTTTTAAGAAAACAGAACTGAGCTGGAATTGAAAACTTTAGAATGGTGGATATCAAGATCAATGCTTAATCCTCTCTTTTTCTTAATCTCGAGACTAACTTAATCTTGTAATTGTATCCTGAAAAGTGTATAAAATTCAACCAATCAGAGTCGCGCATAAGAAGCCGATAAATTTGAAATTTCTGTGCGCCATTTAAGATTAATATAATTACTTTACAAAAACGGGAAGGACTCTTAGTTTTAAAAAACCGGTTTTTGATTTTTCTCTACTATATCCAAAAAAGAGTGGATTAAGCATGAAATCAAAAGTGTCCACATTGGATATTCGGATAAGGCAGAGAGTTCTCTCATTGATTACGCGCCAAAATGTTGAATTTTCTTAGCTTCTGATTGGCTGTTTGGTTTCTACAATCAGCATTCTGATTGGTTGCAGTCTAGACAATTTCTCGGATATCAATGTAAAATTAAATTAGTCTGAAGATCAATGAAAAGAGGAGATAAATCATTGATCTCGATATCCACAATTCTCAAGTTTTCAACTCAGAATATATAGTGTATTTACTTAATTCCAAACTAAAGAGACTATATTCTGAAAAATTGGGTTGTCCACTAGTTAAAGGGAGTGACTGGCAAGACATGGCAGTTGAGCTGAAAATGTAGAATTGTAGAGAATTTGTTTAATATTCATTTGAGACAAACACTGATTTCGTTTTCGTTGCATATTTGTTTAACAAGAGCGCAAATTCAATCTTTATTATAGATCGTTCGTTTAAGAGGGATACATTTTTGAGAATCATTTTTTAAAAATTATTTAATAAAGACTACAAAAAATGTAACAAAAAATCTACAGTAAACTTATTAGATTAGTAAATATGAAAACATAAACATACAATTAGTTTACTGTAGAGTTTACCGAAAAAACGTCTTAAATGAATCCTAAACAATTTCTCTACACTACTGCATTCTCAGCTCAACTACCATGTCTAGCCAGACACTCCCTTTCAGCATCCATCTATAACTCTCCTAGCTATACAAACTTCATGCAAAACATAATTTCAAATAGATAAAAAAAATTTAAATTCTTTCTTTGTTAATATTGTTATACAATTTAAAATCTCTGCTTTCATTTGTTAACGTAAATCTTTTTTAACAACTTTTGGGATGATTTTCTTATTCATAATATAACACGTGAGAATAGCACATGAGCCATATTGTATTACAAGCTTGGGAACCCATGATTTTATATGTATAAACTAAGTTTGCCCTAGTTAAAGTCAACCATCTTTAAAACCAGCCTTAATAAAAACATTCACATGGTTCTATATAGAGTTTTTTTCCCAATCAAAATTTGAGAAAAATCGGTCAAGAGGTTTCTGAGTTATGCAGAAATTACTTTTTTGTTAAGATTTAGAAACGGTAAATTTTGGTTTGTACATGTATACATCCTTGTACATGTATACATTCTTGTACAGGAATGAAGCATTTAACAATTCAATATTTACTCCATTAAAATTAAAATGATAGAAATGTTAACAAATTCAGACTTCAATTGATGCCTACTAAAGAAAACACCATTTTTGTTGTGGCCAGAATTAACCCTTAGGACAGAAACATAAAGGTTAACTGTGTATTCTTTGCAGTTAGCCAGGTTAAACGCTGAACAGTGAACACCGAGAGCGGTTGAACCTGATACTAGATGTATACAATGATTAAAGGGGCGGGATATACAATATAGTTTTATTCGAAAAAAACATTAATTCAGATAAAACTTTGACAAATGTTTCTTTGCCTCCAAAAAAAATCTATTTTGTCCAATAAAAAGTCCCTCCCCCCTTGCCCCTATGTTTCACTCTGGTCCAGTTTGCCCGAGTTTTGGTATAAAAGTTGATCTCCCGGTTTATTTCCCCAGTTTGCTGGCAGATTTAACTCTGAGCTGCTAACCTTCAATAATTTCAAGGTCAGCTCATAATCCCAAACAATGCAGTTATTTTAAAGTTTTTACAAACATTATTTAAACTATATTTATCATTTTTATAATCATTATTGATTATTATTATTATTATTGTTATTATTATTATAATTATTATTATTATTATTATTGTTATTATTATTATCATTATTATTATTTTTATTATTATTATTATTATTATTAAAAGAATAATTTTTAAAGCTTCGGAGACTAATGTAAAAATTGGATAGCTCGAAGTGCCAAGGGTGTTTCTCTCTATTATGAAATTTGTTTTCTAAAATTTCACAAATTTTACTCAAAATTTGTATTTCTTAAATACAGTAGAACCATACAAAAATGTGTATGTTGTAACAGGAATACTTTTAAGTAATATTTTTTTGTATTTGATGTAGTTTTAAAGCAAATAGTATAGCTTAAAGAAACTAATCAAGTTGCCCTGTGACAAATTTAAATACATTGCATTTCAAAAAAGAAAATTTTTACTTTTCCTTTTCTTGTCTTATTATCGTTTGTGTAGATGAATTCCCTGATTGTTCTGTGTTTTGCTGCTTCCAGTTTTGCTGCTCCTCAGCTACCAGCTGGACTTACTGCTGCTGCCTGTCCTAACTACCCATACTGTGATGCCAGGTAAGAAAGGAAAGAGAAGCTGCTCTAAGAGTTATCCAAGCTGCGCTGAGGGTTGTTCTAGCTATTCTGAGAGCTGTATAAATAGCTCTGAGAGCTGGCAAAGCTATTCTTAAACCCGTCCAAACTGTTTTTTTTATTGAAAAAGTCTTTTTGGGAAAATATTTTTTTTTGGAAATTTTGAAATTGGCATTTTGGAAAATACTTTTCCACTGTTTTCCAACCCGTATTTAATTAAGCATACATTTTTGTCTTAAAATATAATTTATTTAGGTTTAATAATTAAAGCAAAAATCTGTAATTGGTAAACTGTGCCTCATATAACGATTAGAGTAAATTATAGAGCAGATATAATTTTAAACAAGAAAAGGATATTTTTTTTAATTTGTTTTAACAGCTGATTAACAATTGTAATATATAAGCATTAAACAATTTTATATTACAAACATTAAATAGATGAATTTCTGAAAATTTTATACTTTTGTTTATTATAGTTGTTTTCTAACATTTTTTCTACATATACCATCAGTCTATTTAATTATGAGATATAAAACATAAAAAGAAATATCGGTTCTGATACAAAAAAAAAATCTTATGAAATTATTCTTTTCGTTGTTTAAAAATGTACAGAAATTTTCTAGTACCTGTGATGTTATCAATATCGTTTCAAGCATTTATATCTGCATAAAATATCTACTTTATTTAGTTCTGGCTTCCTTGAGGTCCCTAATGTGCCCGGAGCTGCTGAAGTGATTGCTGCACAAGAGGCCCTTCTCAGGTCAACAGAAGCTCTTTAGCACATTTTTTGTTTGTTTAAACGTCATTATACCCGAATACCTAAGTACATAAGCACACTCAGATTGCTTTTTTCAAAATTTTCATTTCTATGTTTAAAACAAGTATATTTTTGGCCCTCCTTCTTTCATTCTCCTTCCTTTTCATTTATTCAACTATATCGTCTCCCAGGAATTTCCCTTTTCTCTTTCTTTTAGTGTCTTCCTTTCCTTTTCCCACTTCCTTTCATGTTGATTTGTCTTTCAATCTCCTTTCTTCTCTTTCTTTCCTTTTCCTTACTTCCTTTCATGTTTATTTGTCTTTTAATCTCCTTTCTTCTCTTTATGGCTGAATTTTTTTGAAGGAACTCATAGGTATCCCACATTGCTAAATTCAAAAATCGTCATTTTTTCTCGATGCAAATTTAAAAAAAAAATTTTATTTTTTTTATTTCACGGGCAATAACGGGCACATCAGCTAGTATACAATATATCTATTTAGATCCTCAGGTACTCCTTACGGAGTTCTATCCAGCCTCCCTGGTATTGAGGCCCACGCAGCTGCCGAGGCCGCTGTTCTAGAAGCTTCCAGGGAAGGTTTCCCAGCCCATGCTGCCGCAGAGGCTTCCGTTCTCTTGGCCCAGGGTCTTGCCCCAGCAAACTTTGATGCCGGCAGATACGCACATTACCAGGTCAAATTTAGGGTGCTTTGCGCCTTCGTTATCTTTGTTTCTTTCATTCTGCAGCCTGTGCAATACAAATACATATGCAGCCTGTCATACATCTGCACCCCGTTACACATGCATAATCTACAATTCGTTACAAATACATAATCTGCACCCCGTTACAAAAACATAATCTGAACCCTTTTACGCATACATAATCTGCACCCCGTTACACATACATAATCTGCACCCCGTCCCGTTACACATACATAATCTGCACCCCGTTACATATACAGAATCTGCACCCTGTTACACATACATAATCTACACCCCGTTACCCATACATAATCTGCACCCCGTTAAACATACATAATCTGCACCCTGTTACACATACATAATCTGCAAGTCATTACACATATATAATCTGCACCCTGTTACACATACATAATCTGCACCCCGTCCCGTTACACATACATAATCTGCACCTCGTTACACATACAGAATCTGCACCCCGTTACACATACATAATCTGCACCCCGTTAAACATACATAATCTGCACCCTGTTACACAAACATAATCTACACCCCGTTACACATACATAATCTGCACCCTGTTACACAAACATAATCTACACCCCGTTACACATACATAATCTGCACCCTGTTACACAAACATAATCTACACCCCGTTACACATACATAATCTGCACCCTGTTACACATACATAATCTGCACCCCGTTACACATGCATAATCTGCAAGTCGTTACACATACATAATCTGAACCCCGTTACACATAAATAATCTGTACCCCATTACACATACATAATCTGCTCCCCGTTACACATACATAATCTGCACCCCGTTTTAAATACATAAAAAATTCTGATACATCTCGTTTAAGATATTTTTAGCACAGGGTGTCCCAATAAACATGGGAATTCACTGCTGAATTCGATAGCGTGTTTGCTAAGAATTAGCATTGTGATAACTGATTTCAAAAGCCATGATATTTTTATGTCTGCTAGAGTTAATTTAATGAAAACGGTAAATGGCTGTAAAGATGTGTCTATAATGTCTCCGCAAGATGAACAGCGAGGACAAGTTTACTCTGTAATTGTATACTGTAATTTTCTTGATTTATTAAGTACAAGTATGCAGTCAAAACACATATATAAACAAATTGTAAACCTAGCAGACGGATTACAGCTGTATCAGTAAGTATCCCTATAACTAAACCAAAGAATTATATAAAAAGACGATATCTTGTCACTCAATTCCCATGTTTATTGGGACACCCTGTACATTATACGTTACGATGAGAGTTCGACTTTAGCTATCTGTCATATGAAAGTTTCTGTATTGTAGGCAAGATTTTTTAAAATCTCTTAACATATTTGCTGAGGGAGGTTGTTTTGAGAATCATTTTTTAAAANATACGTTTTTAATATTATTCTATTGTTAATGTGTTTTATGACAATATGTAAAACCTAGAATCTAATTGAAATATGATGATAAATAATACAAAATAATGTTTATTATTATTCTAAATGTTTCAATGTTTATGCGGTTTGTTTTAAGGTTTAAATAAAACCGAAAACAGACAATTCTATTAAAAAATGAAAGATTAACTATTTAAATTAGAGGGATGATTTTTATCTATTTTTATTATTTTAATATTATTCTTTTAGGCCGAGCAAGCAGTTTTATTGCAGCAGCAGCAGCAGCTTGTAGCTCAGGGATAATCAGCTCCTCCAATAATACCCTTCCCTCTCCCCCCCACTCCCCTCCCTTCCCCCTCCCTCCTCATCCAGCATACACACTCAATTTTGACTAGTCATCTCTGTGCAGTGAGATTCAATTTTAAAAAATCCATTAATCAATTATTGATCCATTTTATTTGGTATCAAAATTTGATTGATTGATTAGATGAAAGATTGATTGCTTGCCTATTTTTATTTCCAACAATTTATATTTAGAAATATATATTTTATATTGACCGTGGTGAACTATAAGACAAACATAGACCATTAAAGGTCATGAGGGTATTAAGAACTAGATAGGTCATAAGAAGCATAAAGAACCAGCTAGCTAGATAGATCATGAGAAGCATAAAGAACTATAACTAGCTAGATAGATCATGAGGAGTATTGAGAACTAGATAGATCATGAGAAGCATAAAGAACTAGCTAGCTAGGTAGATCATGAGGAGTATTAAGAAATAGATAGATCATGAGGAGTATTAAGAACTTTAGCTAGCTAGACAGATCATGAGGAGTATTAAGAAATAGATAGATCATGAGGATTATTAAGAACTAGATAGATCATGAGAAGCATAAAGAACTAGCTAGCTAGGTAGATCATGAGGAGTATTAAGAACTAGATAGATCACGAGAAGCATTAAGAACTAGCTAACTAGGTAGATCATGAGGAGTATTAAGAACTAGATAGATCATGAGAAGCATTAAGAACTAGCTAGCTAGATAGATCAAGAGAAGCATAAAGAACTAGCTAGCTAGATAGATCATGAAAAGCATAAAGAACTAGCTAGCTAAGCATAAAGAACTAGCTAACTAGATAGATCATGAGGAGCCAGATCTATAATGCAGATCATGAAAACCTAGAAGGATCACTTAAGATCAATCGTAACTTTGTCGACCATAAAAATAATTTAAAATTTATTGTAACACAAAGTGAATCAAGAATGAAGATTTGAATTTGATAGATCACGAAATGCATAAAATCAATAAGATTGGTTAAAAAAGTTATATTTTATATTTTTATTGATTAGTTGCAAGGAAATATTCCCAAAGCTAATCAAATCTAATTATAGTAGAACAAATAGAAAGGCTAAAATGTTCCTTACTTTTAATTAACAGTGAATATCTTTTGATTTTTGAAGAAAGACATTTTCACTTGTCAGTGTTTATGAAAATCCTCCCCNCATTGTATAGTTCAGTTATACTTCTTATATACTCTCTATAGTAGATTTTTATTTCTTAATTATAATTCATCCAAAGAGTAAATATCTATTGTTCGATATTTTGTTGGTGGCGACTGACGGAAACCAAAGCAGTAGAAGTTAAACTAATTGTATCTAGCTCAAATATACTCTCATGATTTGGGTTTCCAGCGAACGACAGCTTTTGCGAAAAAATGGAAATTTTCTCAAAAATTTTCTTTCGTATATTTCGCAAACTTTTTCGTGAAATTTTGCATTTTTTGGCGTAAAAGAATTTTGCGAAAGTAAGCAACAACAATGAGGAATTTCGATGTACAAAAAAATATGTGACAATTTCGTGACAAATTGCGCTTTTTATTTATAAGGGATAATTTAGGATTGTATACGAACTATTATATTCTTTATTCATTTGATTAAATAAAGAGAAACAGTTAATAAAAGCTTGGTTGGTCAATAAATGAAAAGAAGAGTAGTTTTGTGTACAGGGTGTCCCACATCATATTAGATCGTTTATAGCTCAAAATTGTGATTTTAGGGACTAATCAGAAAATTTTAAAAATAATGAATCTTTTTCTAAAATTGTATAAAGTTTCTATAAATGTTTTCTAGCAGAAAATACTAGGTTTTTCGAGTATTCTGTCCGTATTTTTGCGTTAACGCTCGGAAATAATCTAATATGATATGGGACGCTCTGTATGTACTAAACTTTCTCATATTTGTTGAATACGACATTTTTCAACTTCTTAAATTTCGTCCCGAGTTTCAGTTAAAAAATATATTTTAAATAATCCAAGGTTCTCGAGACAGGGCGACATTGTGGAAAAGCCACAAATTCTAATCCCTATATCTTTGCAACACAATGTCAGATCTTCGAGATTACAAACTTTGAATTATGTGAAATCATTAATAAACTAAGTTTGGAATATCAGGTTTTAAAGATAATGTCTAGAATATTTGAGTTTGTGGCAAATACTCAATTCCTTCTGACATGAAGGACAATATTTAACGAAAATGTTTAAAAAAATGTTTAAAAAAATGTTTAAAAAAATGGTTAAAAAAAACAACAAATTATGTTTGAAGGCATATTGTTAGATGTGATGTTCGAAAGAGAAAAATATATTTCTCTAAATATTGTTTGTAATGTCTTTTCCGACATCTCCTAAAGTCAACTTGAATATTTCGACAAATTTTTCCCAGCGTTCAACACCAAAATCACCAGAAATTTTTTAAGTCACTTTTAAAATTTGGCCTTTAAAATACAAAAATTACTTTTGTAAGAATATACAGGGTGTCCCACAAAACATGACACTTTGTGAATAGTTTTGAATGTCTTCTTCCATATACTGTGTCTGTATAAGATATTTTAGACTTTTTGCAGTTTATTTAGTTTTTAAAAATCTTTTACTCAAATATATTTTACTTTGAATACAATTTTACTATAATTTGGCTGGCAGGAAGATTTTTATATTGTTCTCTCGGGGTTTGAACAATTAACAAACTATGGAAGAAGACATTTTAAACTTTTCACCAAATGTCATGTTTCGTGGGACACCCTGTATATAACGGCAAACTAGTATTGGTAGTAGTAGGATTACTAGGAGCTGGACAGAACTAAGAAAAGGGTAAAATTTATTGCAATAGTAGGACTATTTATTTTTTAATGTAGTGTGAGGGAGTGGATTTTTTTTGTCACGTGATAGAAATTCAAATAATATTTGTTCTTCTTAATAACTCTGTACAATTAAAAAACATAGAAAGATTTCAATTAAACTTACAATCTACTTTATTTCAACGTAAATAACCAGATAAAAACCATTAATACAAACAGTGAGGGGCTTGCCCCCCTACCCCTGGACCAATTAAATCTATGGATTTCAGTGGGGTTTTCAGCCCCACGGGTGCTGAGCCTTCCCCTGGAAAGAAAACAAAATGCAAGCCCCCCCCCCTGGACAAATTCACGACTACACCCCTGATTTATACAAAACATACATATAAAGCAGAACAGCAGAATATGTATGTATATTTATTTGCGTGTATGTTTGCAAACCGTATCAATTAAAAAATTATTTTTAGAATGTTCTCAAAAACATAGGTTAGGTCGTTTCAGCTGTAATAGTCAGGGCTAATCAAAAATTTGATAAGAATGAATTGTACAAATATGTATAAACATAATAAAAACTGGAGAAAATAATAGGGGTTTTGAGTATTATGTGCGCGCATTTTGGCGTTACATCTTAGATAATGCAATTTATATGATATGGGTCACTCTGTATATACACTTTTTTTAGCCAAAGATAGTTTTCTACGATTTTGGAAATACCACAGGCAACGTTGGCACCTTATACAATAGAGTGTGCTGAAGTACTAATCTAGATGTAGAAATAAAATATCAATGTTATTCAAATTTGTTATATTTCTGACGGATATTACAATGTAAAGCGATACAAAAATGAAAGCACAATAAGTGACTTAGAAGACTGGATGGTTAAATAACCTGTGTCGAGAACTTTTGAAGGAAAAAACCTGATTTGCATCGACTTAACATCTGGAGAGATGAACTCCAACTTCAAAATGGAAAATTATAAAGCTTTCATCTTATTCAAAAGTTCACAACACAGATAAATAGTGTGACGACAAACTTTTATTTAAAGATATAAATAAATTTAAATTTAAATTTAAATGCAGTGTAGAAATAATGCAGTGTTTAAGGCTTGCATTTTAACTATTGTGATTTTTATAACGTGTAAGTACTTTCATTGATATCACCGGATGTAGTTTAAATATATATAAATATATACATTACAATCTGTTCACTTTTAGGATTATCATTTCCATGCTTTGAAAGTTCACAATTAGCTCTGTAATAATAGAGCGGGGTCTTATATTTAAACATTGGCGATTTTCTGTGTTATTGATCAATTCAGAGGATTTATAAAATATATATCTCACGCAGATGTACTGTCAATTGGCGGATTATCAAATTGAAATAAATTGCAGGTTTCTCGTTTTGTAGGATTATAGAGAGACAAGTTTCAGATTATCTGGAGTCCCGTTCTCGTAGAAGTTCCTCAGCTGAGTTGAACATGAGGGGGAGGAGACTACAGGGGTCTGCAGGGACATTGTGATACTCACAGGGGTCAGGATGTTGGTCGGGGTCAACCCTGTCCTCCCGTCCATCAGGGCGTCGAAGTTTAGGCTTGAGAAAATGTTCGTCGGCGTCTCAATTGGTATTCCTTCAATACTTCTCAGGCTTTGTGACGCAGGTTTAATACTGAGGCTGAGGGAGGTTGGACGTTTAGAGGGGAGGGGCATGTTTAATGCTTCCTCGTGAGTCAGATGATATATTTGGTAACTTGTATTGGTTTCTTCCTCAGCTTTCACGATTACTTTTGCATCATTTGGCTCTACACTTGGAGTAATCAGCTGTACACTTGGGATAGTAAGCTGTACGCTTGGCACTGTACGCTTTACACTGGTAATTGGTTGAACGTTGGGTAGGATGCGTTGAACCGCTTGGTTAGGTTGAGATCTGCAGACGTTATCGAGTTTACAAACACTTTTATGTGCATCTAGGATGAACTGTAGCTCCTCTCTTTGAGACTGTAGGGCGTGGATCTCTTCTTGAAGTAGGCGTTTTTTCTCCTCCCACTGATCCACCTGCAAGATATAAAGATTTTTAATATAATTGAAATATGAAAGGTTTTCTTTGTTTTTGAAAATGAAAGGCTAGGACCAGCTAGGGGGCCGAAATTTAAAACATTTATATGTAAAGTTTGGTTGTTTCAAAATATTTAAACTTGACTCTCGCTTTCCGTGAAAAAAATTTGGAACGTTTTTTTTGACAGATTCTTATTAACTTATATTTTTCACACCTCTCCCTGTAGTGACTCCGTTTGATCAACCCTTCTCTTCCTGCACCTGGCAGCAGCCTGCTTGTTTCTCTCCCTTCTCTGTTTTATCCTCTCCTCCTCCTCCTGGGTCAGCACCTCCTCCTTCACAGTACTCCGCCTCCCAGACCTACTCCTAGCCGCCAGCTGGAGGTCGGCGAATACAGGCGGTTCGTTCACCGGCGTAACAATCGTTGAATACCCGCCTTGCCAGTTTTTATCGTCGATAAAGGCGGTTGTTTTAACAGCGGTAGGCATAGATAAGGGGTCAACTTCGTCCATCAGCATTACGTTGTTCAGGTTTAAAGAGTCATAAGGACTTGAATCCTCTGAAGGTTTTGAGAAACTGAAATTACTCAGATTTGTTTCGTTCACAATCCGTATATCGGAGGTCGGCATGGTTGCGCTCTGGGATATTGAATGACTCACTCTGGAGGTAGTCTCTGCTTGACTGAAGCTCTCCTGGCTCCGGATCCTGCCTTTGTTTTGCAGGAATCCGCCAGAATTCAACGGAACTGGGTTTTCCAATCCAATTCTGCAGCTGACTGTGGGGTGCGGTTATACGTTGGCATGTCCGGACTCCGGACCGGTCCGAGCTCTGACGTCAAATCAGGCAGAATCAGGCAGTTGCGTCCGTCGTGGATTTTCATGAAAATAAGACGGACCGGGTCATCCGACACGCTCCCTGGTAGCCCACGGCAGGGGTCACTATTTGTGACGTAGTGAATTATATGACTCATACTTGAATTCTCAGAATCTGCCAGGCCGGAGAGAAGGGAGACGGTTCTAGAAACAGGGCGCTTATTTCATCATGATTTTTAGCTGGGTCCTGCTGTGGTCAACTATTCAATATATATACATATGTATATATCAGGGGCGTAAATAAGGATTCTGTAGGGGGTGGGTAATTTTTTTAAAAAGCTGGTTTTCTCAATCCCTAAATTATTTTTGGCCCCCATTCCCCAGCTGTAAAAAAGCCCCCAATTAAAAAAAAAAACATTTTCAAATTCCATTTACACATTTGCCCCCAATTGCCCACAATTGGAAAAGAATGCCCCCAATTAAAACACATTTGCCCCCAATTGACCCCAATTGGAAAAAATGCCCCTAATTTAAAAAAACATTTTCTAATTCCGGCCACTAATACATTTGCTGTTGGAAAAAAATGACCCCAATTGAAAATTTGTTCAATTCCACTAACACATTTGCCCCCAATTTCCCCCAATCGTAAAAATGCCCCCAGTTAAAAAAACATTTTCAAATTTCACTAACACATTTGCCCCAATAATTTTAAAATTGTCCCCAAAATTTTTAACTTGCCCACAATTTTACTTTGATTGCCCCTAATATCTATAAATTGACCCCAGAAAATATAAAGTTGACCATTAACAAATCCCCCAAAACTAAATGCCTCCAAACATAAAAATGCCCCTTTTCGACTCACATTTGCCCCTAAAAAAATTTATTTGCACCCAGTAAAAACAAGTTTGGCCCCCAATTTCTTTTTAAATTATCATTTAAATGATAATTTTAATTAAAACAATTTGCCCCCATTTCTTTCAATTTTGTCAATGTCAAATGGGATTGAGAAAGAAAATAATATTCAGAAATGTATATTGTGAATTTGTATAGTTTAATTTAAAGGGAGTGACCGGCAATGTATGGTGGTTGAACTGAAAGATTTGCAGTATTGTGGACAACTTTTTAGGATTCATTTGAGACATATAAAAGTTTCTTCGACATATGTACTGAGTTTGAGCGCAAAGTCGACGTTTAAAATCATGAAATTGGGTGTATACATTTTCAAAATTATTAAATATCATTAAGTAACGCGCGACGACAAAAAATATAAAAAAAATTCTACAGTAAACTAATCGGTTGAGAAAATAAAAATTAACTCTTATCATCGAAAATAAGTAAACTTATTCAATTATTTGTTTCTATATTCTTTCATTATTCACAAAGATGTTTTGCAAATTTTTTGGAATTTTTATTGAAAAGACAACATTTGAGGAATTTGTAGAAATCTGCGAACAAATTCATAGAAATTAAGAAATTCAATATAATGATGAAAACAAAATAATTAATTGATTTAACATTGGTATTGACAAATTTCAATTGAAAAATATGTCCCTAAACATCTAATTAATTTACTGTATAATTTTTACTTTATTTTTCGTCGTTTTCTATAGCATGGGGTGGGGGCACTGCCCCTTGAACCCCCAAATCTCTCCCCCCCCCTCCCCCCTTTATAAATAAACACCCAGTTACGCCTTACGGCCCTGCCATTTAAAAAGTGAAAAAATCTATAAATTCTTTGAGATCAATTCGCTTCGTTCTCCATAACACAATGTTTTACAACTTATCATAATTCTGTAAAAAATTGGTTTTAATATTTAAAAAATATAATTTAATCATATATATATATATATTCAGGGGCGGAATAAACCATTATCTCAGGGGGGGGGGCATAATTGCGCGAGTAAGCGCGGGAAAAAAATTCGGGCCCCCCTTAAAATTTAACAAATAGCAGTAAATTCCTATTTCTTATTTGCTCAAAAAATATAAGTTTAAAAAGTCCAGTTCTCCCACTTTCTCTCTGTAATCTCCAGTTCTCCCATATACTTTCTATATGTAAAATCCAGGAGCTCCGGTTGGGGCTCGTGGGCCCAGGCGCCCCTGTAGTCCGCCCCTGACATATATATATATAAATAATCTCTAGAACAAGAAGTCGCCATGCTCGCCTTTTCGACTCAAGTTATGACTTTAAATAATCCAATTAACATGAGACACAGTAATTGTGCAGTGTAAACAGACCCATTTTACTAAGAAAAGCTACTTGTTTTTCAGCATCAAATGCACTTCAGTATTGAGTTAATGTCGTCTTCCTATTCTAAACTTTTCACTTTAATAAGAACAATAATAATAATATTAATGTTATAAAATATTGCATTTTTTTCAGAAGTTTTTATTTGTATGTATCGGATATATTGATACAGCTACTACATTTAATTCTTAGTTTCTTATCAAAGAAAATGTCATAATTATATGAACTATAAATACAATTTTATAAACTAAAAACTTTTATGTAAATCACAGATTATGTATTCCATTTTATAGGAAATAATTTTGACGCGTATAGAATTTATAGAATTATATTATAGATACATCAATATATATTGATGTATATACATAGTTAAATCTCTGTTTTATGCTTCAATGTCCGGACAACGCACCTCTGCCCCTTCAGTAAAAGTAAATTTAACCTGGCTTTATGTAGCATAAAAGTCTGACCGCGTCAACCCTGTTGCACCGGCTAGTCCTGTCCATAGAGCTAGGTACAGTACACACTGGGACCGGAAAGGTTGACCCGGCTCGTAAATTCAAATGTATTACGGCTGCCCGTGTTACATAACTTAGAAATCCCCTTGACCGATTTGCCCTAAAAATTTAGTTTTTCGCTTGGTTCCGAGCTTCTAAGAATTAACTTGTAAATTGCATCCATTTTGATTTCCAGGCAGCGGTGGGTTTCCAACCTAGTGATTTCATAAACGTGTATCTTTATGAAAATTAAAAATTATTATTTCATTTTATAGTTAACAATTGTTATAAAAGTATACACAATTATATAAATTATTTAACTTTTATGGAAACATAGGTTTAAGTATAGTAATTGATAATTCATAAGATAAACTAGATAATTACATAAACTTATATCTTTTAAAACAAAAATGTGTATTTGATAATATTTGTCTTAAATATGTTTTAGAATATTTAACTTTTAATTGAAAACTATACAAATGTTTTAAGTACGTGGCACTAATAAATGTTGAGAATTTAGAAGTTATCATAAACATCAATTTTGTTTTTGTGAATTACAGGATTAAAAGGTTGATCCAAAGTTGTTTGTTTTAACATTTTCTATAGCAAAGAGAAGCTTCAAAGATAAAATATTTTAGAAAAATATATTTCTTTGATTTGTGTCTGTTTAACCCATGAATTTGAATAGTGAATACAGACCTGCGTAGAGTTTTCTTTTAGCCAACTCAAGCTATTCATTCTTTACAGGGTAGTTTGGCAGATAACGCTTTTTGCGTCAATTCTTGCAAAGAAACATAAGCTTGTTTTATGCGTATCCGGGTGCTACGCTGCGGCCCATATTTTATCAGCACTAACAGTTTAATGAATTATTTACGCCTAAATTGAATAGGAATTAATTACATAATGTGTACGCATTATGCAAGCAAAGGAACTAATATGGTTCAAATATGGTTCAAATATGGTTCAAATGTGGTTCAAATATGGTTCAAATATTGTAATCTTTGTCTGTCTGTTTGTTTTTCCGCTCGTAACTCAGGAACCCTTGAGCCGATTTGCCTCAAATTTTGTTTGGGTAACTTGTGACACCCATGGGAATGTTCTTAGTTTGGTTTTAAGAATCTAAGTGGAGTGGGTCGATCTAAACAGCGAAAATTTATATTCCTGTTAAAATCGTTGAAGTGCGGGTAAACGGCGGGAGTAAAATTTGGCAACCTCGGCAGCGCTGGCTTCCTCCTAAGCTAGTGTATGTTAGCTGTAAGCGGGGCAAACGGCTTGACCGATTTGGCTAAATTTGTTGAGGGAACCCATGGGTACCCCACTGCAAACTAACCAGGAGGAGAAGGTCAAATTAAATTGACATTGTTGGTATGACTTTGTGATCTCGTTGCTACTCTAATTCTAATTTTACGTACAAGTAGGAGCCAAATAAACTTCTTCGGTTACATATTAGCAATTTAAAACAATTTTATTCTTCTCAATAGCTCTGTAATTTGAAACATAAAAGATTTAATTTTCAATCGCTCGTGCAGTTTACTTTAGATTGACGTGACCCCGCGGGAGGTGACACCGTTGAGACAAGTTCAATTAAAAAAAAATTCACGGGCAACGCCGGGCATTTCAGCTAATTTGTGTATAAATTTTATTTATGTTAGCTTTTACTGGCCAAACAGCTGGACCGAATTGGCTGAATTTTGTTTAAGAACCCATGGGTTCCAGGGGGGTTATATAGATATGTTTAAGATTCTAAAAAAAAGCTGAAAAATGCTTAAGGAACGATTATTCCACATTCACCAAATTATTAAAAAAACCTCAAACTATTTTTTTTTCAAAGAAACGAGTATTTTGGTCGTGTTTTGGGCCTTACTCAGTTATTTTCCTCAAATTCCAACCGAGTTCCTCGTAATATACGATGATTTCATTAATTTAAAGAAAGCTTTTTGCAGTTTCTGAAACTTTAAAAGTGATTTAATCTCCAAGAATTTAAGAACTATTAATGTAGTATATTACATTTTCAAGGGGGGGGGGAGTGCTTATGGCCAGGGGCCTGGGACCGTTACCCCTCCCCCCACACTCTCAAGGTCTGATCTATAATAAAAATATTCAAAAATTAAAACATAAAGAATTGCATTCTGCTTTGGATAGATAGATAGATAGTATTGAATCAGTATTTAACAAACTTCGTGTCTAGCTGTACAGACTATATCAGGTTTGAACAGTTCTGCAAATATCTATAGAA